CTCTAAATATCCCTCCTTCCTCCTTTCCCCAGATTTTACTGCTAAGCACAATGTCATATGGCATAGGATATCCCTTTGGTCATCTGGTGTCAGCTGTCCCAGCAGTGTCCCCTCCTAACTTCTTGTAAACTTCTTATGCTGGCAGAGCAGCGTGAGAAACAGGAAAGGCCTTAATGCTGTGCAAGCACTGCTCAGCAATAGCTCAAACATCCCTATATTACCAAGTATTCTAGTCATAAATGCAAAACATAGCCCAATACGAGCTACTATGAAGATAATTAACTCTATCCCAGCCAAAAGCAGTACAACTGTCAAGAAACCACTGGCTTAGTGTTTTTAATAGATCAGCACAAGACTAGACAACTGGAAAATTACTTTGAGAGCAACTGGGGAGCAGAAGAATGGAGAAAAGCTGCTGGAATTTGGTGGAAAGCAGAAAGACGGGAACTGCTGGCAGTAGACTGTGCCATTGGAAGAGCTGAGCCACATGACAGCATGTTGACATGTAGGCTGCTATAGTGCTGGTTATCACTTCCTTTACCTTCTATCTCTGATGTTGCTACTTGCCTTTTGTTAGCCATGCTGGCTTTCCACCCTGACACAGTGATGCCTGGATAGCCTTCAATGGCTAAACACATCTGGTTCCTGCACTCATCTCCCCTCTCCTTTTTAACAGTTCAGTCTTGTCAATGGGTAGTTAGCACTGAAGTAAAATGCAGTAACTACTAAATCACCCCCTGAATACAAAACACTGCTTTTCATCCAGGCTATCCTAATATGCAAAGGACAGCTGATAACTGAGCCTCACAGAAGAGTGGCTCTTGGCAAGTCTAGTCTGTGAGTGCAATCCCTGTAATTTTCAGATGTTTAGGCTGGTACAGGAAGAGGAATTTTCTCGGAGCAGAGGTGGATTTAATTCCCTTCCCTATCTCCTTCCTCTCCAAATTATGATGTACTGAATCCTGGGTTTATTCTTAATTAATAAAGTACTGGGAAGAAAAAAGCTTCTGTAACAAAAAGTTCTAGGAAAAATTATTTTGGACATTGTGTTTCAGTGAGTCAGAACTGAAGAGTAATTCTGGCTCAACGTTATTTACAGTGAAGCTAGAGTGCCAAGGTTCCTCCCCACCTTCCCATGCCTCCTGCCAGTCACCTCCCATCAGATATTGTGCCAATCAAATCAAAAGCAACTACAGTGCACCTTTCAAGCAGCAAGCCAAATGGAGACAGGAGAGAGGACAGGGCAATGATGCATGCAACATCAAAACAGCTTCCATAAAACTAAAATACATACCGATGTAGTTACTAGGTATTGCTGAGACAATATAGCCCTTCACCTCAGCGTTGTGTTCCTTTTCCAGCAAAGGTGGTGTTGGATGAAGATTGTGGGGTGCATGGACAAGAAAAGGAATTTTGCACTATGTGAGACCATCCCTTAGCCAGCCCCCAGGGATAGCCACAGGACCCCTGCTCAGTTTAGCAAACACTGAGCATCTTGAATTCTAGATCTTCTTGCATGTCCTTCCCTCTCCTGGGTAAACCCCACTACCCAAAGCCCAAGCGTGCACAGCAGAGACAGTATCAAACAATGTTAATGTTATGAAGATATCTGTAAAACAAAATGACTAATTTCACATTTTATGTATCTGTTCGCTCCAACGCTTTGCTTTCAAGAAGACACTATGGAATGACATGTGAAACGGGCAAAGAAGGTGAAAATTAAGGCCTATTAGTTAGAGATGTTCAGAAAGTTAAGAAGCCTTACTAAGGAAACAAACAGGTAACTGCAGGCTCATTGAAGAAACTCAAGTCAGTTTCCACAATCCAGAGGAAACAGTGTTAGAAGATGGTCCAGAAGCTTCTACAAAGGAAGCATTAGCCAGAGAGCTCAGAAAAGAGGGGGCATTTTGACATGAACCATACACAAGTGCCTCTAGTAGTGTTAACTCCTAAGTGAAATTTGCTATAGGTGCCTGTCCTGGTCTCTAAAGAGCAACCACCATACTTTTTCATAAGCATCCTGCAGCCCAGACCAGTTCTGTGTCTCATCATCTCTCGCTAACTCCAAAGCTTGGAGAATAGATGTTCCTAGTGAGCAACAGCCTTAACAGGCCTCATTTATTTTCTTCCAATAAAAACCTAAGCTTCATGTAAACATGTTAAAAGCACTGTAGTTGTGCAAGGCTTCCTCCTCATTCTAGTTTGTTCCTTCATCTGACTAAGCAATCTCTCTTACTTAACAATAACATACATGCACGAGTGCCATTTACAGTCATAAAATACAGTAAAAGGTGACCTATAAGTGCTTTTCAGCATTTAGTTTCTCAAGAGCTTTTTATTTCTCAAAGTCACAATTTCCAAGCTGCTTCTCTCTGTCTCAGCACATGAGTAGACACAGATGTTTGTCAGAACTGCAGATGGTGGTGGAAGAGGATCTTTGCCATAGTCTTCAGCTGTCTAAACAACAGGGAAAAGTACTTATTTTTGGGAGAAAGCTCTATTTAGACTTCAGCTGACAGGACTATTTGGGGTCTTTCCACTTCTACATTTTTGAAAGATCCTGTCTAGTCAGCAGGAAAAGTTGGATACTACATATATATTTAACCTAAACTCCCACTCATTCCCCTCCCCCTGCTGTAAATTACACTGAAATTAATTCCACGAGTTTTTATAGCAACAGTCTCTGATGAGCTGAACAGCAGTAGCAAAGCGTAAGGAACAGCAAGAAAGCTGGCAGCATGGAAGGACCCTACAATGTGGGTAAGGAACGCTCAATAATGCTGTAGCTACAACTAAGCTACTCAGTATGGAATACACTACCCAGTTGAAAAGACTTCCTTTTAAGGCTGAACATCTCTGTATGTGGATGGGATGCACCTGTCATGGGAATTAGGCTGCTAACAGGAACATGTGTATGAGAGGCACAGAGTCATGTTGTATAGCCCATTTGCAAATAGTAATGGTTGCTTTTAAGTTGGTTTTACAGTTTCTTTTTAAAGGCTCTAGGTAGCAGAACTGTAGGATGGTGAAGCTCTATTGGTCAATAATATGACAGTGGTATGGTTTTGCAGCTTACTACACTGCCTAGAATAAGTTAATATGAATCACAGTGCAATATTAAGATTGTAGCCAGACATGTCAAAATCAGGACCTCTGGTAGTACTTGACAGACCTCCAAGGAAAAAGCAAACACCCTCAAGCCCGTTGTCATGCTTGTGCAGTGTGGAAGGCATGTATCCAGAAGACATAGCTTTTGAGACAGGATTTGAAGCACGAGCCTCATGAAATAAGTCAGACTTACATTTCATACCTCAGCCTGAAACATGAGAAAGGAACTGAACTTTAGGAAGAAATCCCACAAGGTCTAAGATGACAGCATTAAGAATAGTCAGTGTTGTCCAGCCGCAGAAGAATTGAGTCCTAACTCATGTAATTCACTTATTTAGACATTGAAAACAAATTGCACTTTTCATATGGTGATCTTCAGAAACTAAACAAAATGTATGTTCTTCCATTTAATTTAAAAAACCCCACCCAAATCTTAAAAGTTCAGGGTTATGAGAATCCAAGTACTCTGAAGATCAAAGAACACCTTTAAAACACAGATCTTGCAATATGGTAGATAGGCCTGTAGCTTCAATGAAGTCAAGGATACTTTGCTGGCCCACACAATCCCTGGACTAGAGCCCAAGTTTCCACACTCTTTTAGTTCTTCTGTCAAATATTTGTGTATGGATACTAATCCTCATGGAACTTATTCCAGGAACTCATTTCACAGTCAGACAGAGCTCCATTGATAACAGTGGCTTGTGATATAAGAACGTGTACTTCTCTATTCCCTTGAAGGCTTGTCTATTCAAAACAATTATAGTATTTAACGTTTAATATCAGGAACCTTTCAGATCCTAGCTTCTATTTTGCAGCAGGTTATTTTATTTCTAACATTCTAATGTAAAAAGCCTGGTGTCTCAATTCCATTGGCAAAGTTCACTGACTGGATGCTGTTAAGAAAAACTCCCACTCAAAATGAAATGGACACCAAATTTCGTATAAAATTCTATTGAAGGCTACTCTGCTCATGAAATCAAGGATATTGCATTTTTTCAGATGGCGTCCTGGAACTCAATCATTTTTACATACATTCTACATACTAATTAGTTTTCATTTCTTTACTCTTACGCTTCAAAATATTTTTTTTTTAAATTGTTAACTAAATAATTGGACTTTATTTTAGGTATTCAGCATTCTGTTGATAACATCTACTTTCACGTGCTTAACAGATATGGCAAAACCCCACTACTTAATTTTATGGTATCTTTTGAAAAGCCACTGTGTATACAATCACTCCAATGCAGCCGAAGCCTTGTAAAAAGACTGGTGTTAACCTACATGTGAAATCAGTATTTATTTATGTATTTATTCCATCACCAAACCCATACCAGTTTTACTTAAAAAAACCAACAAGAAGTTATATATTGCTCAGATTTGCTTCTGCAAGCTAACTAGCTCATTGTTTCAAAAACACTTGGCTCTTCGTCAGTCTCCTTGCTGATAGAGACTTGCTAGAAAAATAAAGACCTTATCCTTCCACGAATACAAAAGGGAATATCAGCTCAACAATAATAAATTATATTACTCTAACAAATAGTATGTTCTTTATATTAACTTCAGGTGTATTTTCACAAAACAAAAGCAAATATACAGGTACTTGCAAACCCCATTCTATTCCTGCACATCATCATCTTCATTCATTCATAGTTTCCATTTCAATAGCACAAAAGTCTGAGGAACATCCTTAGCTGTGGTAGGGGAACACTATTTTCCAAAAGTGAATTCCAATTTTTTTTTTTTTTTTTTTTTTTTTTTTTTTTTTTTTTTTTTTTTTTTTTTTTTTTTTTTGGGGGGGGGGGAGAGAGAAAAGAAAGACATAGAATTAGTCCAGTATAACCTAGAAAAATTAACTTTACTTCTGATGCTACATTACTAATAGAATAGCAAAATACAAGAAACTTCATTTTTATTTAAAATTACTATTGAAAAAAATCAAACTTCAAATCCGAACATTCCTAACACAAGTCTTATAAATTGAAGTTCTTAATCATCAACTCTTTGCGGGTTCTCATCTTTCACAATTTCTGAAGTCTGGAAAGTCTGATGTAACAAAAACTTCTATCAAAACATTATATATATGTATTACTGCTCATCCATCCTTCCAAGTCGTCGCCGTCGCCTACAGAAAGACTTCAAGTCCCATTTGTTTGACTCCAACATAAAAGGTCCATTGTAGACAAATAACACCGTCATCTTGTCACTGTAAGTGAGATTCTGCAGGAGCTGAGGAAAAACACAAAAGCCAGTCAAAATAGCTAGAAGAGATGTTCCCCATTTTATCTAAAAAACATGAAGGGCATCTACGTAAAGCGTTAGATCTATAAAGGTCAATATGACAGGGTTATAGACTTTCTAACAAATTATGTATATTTGATCCTAGAACACCCCCAGAAAGACTCCACTCATTCTTCAGGCAATTTCCACACTTCACTATTCTTACTACAAGAAGACTTTGTATCTAATCTGTACCTTCTTGCTGCAAATGAGTAATTACTCTTTTCCCCTTTCCACAATGGACAGAGAATATCGGCTTTTTTTCCTCCTTTTGCCATGGCAAGGCAGGAGGTAGAGTTACTTGGGCACAATTATTATGTTTCTCTTCAGCCTCATGCTCCTCTGAGCTAAGCAATGTCCATCAGTGGAAACTCACACCTTTCGAAACTTCTTAAAAGTTAAACTGCTGTCTTCTGGAGTAACTCCAGACACTGTAATACTTTTCTGAACTGTAACAGCCAAAGTTCGATGCTTACCATTGTCCAAACCTTGTCAGGCACAATCCCAGCAGACTGATAGATGTCATGCAATCTCTAGAGTTATCTGCAATGCTCAGGATGACTTTTAGCAATTTACTTGCAACTGATGCTCAACTTGTCATCTACAATAACTTCTCTCTCTCCACTCATTTAGGCATTTATGCCTTAAACCAGATTGCTGATTTTTTTCCACTTAAATACCAAGTCCTATGCTTGTCTGTGCTGAAACGCATCCTGTTTTCAAATAGTTACCTAATCTAAGATTGTTTTGAATACTAATCTCGCTCTACAGCAGAGTTCACTCCCAACATGGTGATTATTTGCATGTTTAATAAACATAATCTGTTTCAGCACAGATTGATATTAAAAATACTGATTTTCAATCTCCTAAGGAACACGTTCATCTACTCATTCTGACAAGTGAATCACAACTATTCAGAATACAATTTCCCTAATCAACTCTACTGCATACTAATCTACACCCCTTCCCCTCTGTAGCTTGCTTAAAAATATAGCTGGGTAAAGTGTCAATATACTGAAAAAATAAATAACAACAGTTTTTCCTGTATCCACAGGATATATACACAGAACTTAGTTTACTATGGCAATTTGTCATACTTTGTAGTATGTGATTACCTACTTGCTTTCTAGTAAGTGATGACATACAGCATAGGAACTGCAGGTAAACCACTGGAATAGTAGAGCCTGGCTTTCTCATCAGCCTGCTCTGTACAGCCTTTTAATTATCCTCCAATGCAGCCCACTCAAACTATCTCATCAACTAAAAACTTTACATGGAGTGCTATCTCAATAATGCTCTCTGTGGTAGGCCATTACAACTTCACCATGTTAACTGTGGTGACCACCTACTTGCAGCTAAGAGAGAGCGGGTGGGAGTGAGGGAGGAGGAGAGGAAAGAAGGAAACACCTTTGGCCACCTCTTCATAATGCCATCTGTTGCTGCTGAACAGCGGTGCCACACATTCCTTGATTTTCCTCTTTCCAAAAAGTTAAATGGACTTTTTTTTTTAAGGCTCAGCAATTTCTTATTTCTGCTTTCTCATTTTTACTCTTTCTGGTTAGCTCTGCACACACAATTTTCCCCCGCTCTATTTTTAATAATCTGACAATGAACACAACTTTTACAACAGACTCTGAGCCCTAGACAGTAACTTTCTATAGTTCCTTACAGGTGGGAAGCATTATAGTTACTAGAGCTATCTCTATCCTTTCAATATCCAAACCACTCAAGGCAGGATAGGGCACAGAAAAGCACATCCAATAAGGAGAGAAATTGCAAAAAGACAAAAGGGGATAGATAACACACAGAACAAGAAGGAAGTATGTGGACAGGAAACTACCAAACTGTGCGGAGCTAAGTACAGTGCAAGACCAGAAGGAACAACAAGCATCATCTTCGTCTTTCTTTCAGGCAGGTAAATGCTGTAGGTGTTTTTTCTCAGGCTCTTCAACTGCTTATTTACAGAAAATAAGAGCACATACCAGCCTGATTTTCTAAAATACAGTGAAGTACGGGATGCTGGAGAACTGTTATGTGAATAAAAAGTGTACAGCCCATTACTGACTGCTTGTCTCCTTGGTGCACAAGTAATCTTTACTGGTTCAGTATGTCCTGGATCAAGCTGAACACAATACTAGCCTCTGCTAAAGGTGCAGGTGAACAGCAACCCTAATTACTAGTCCTTTTGCATCACTCCATCACCTACTAAGTCAATTAGCTTGATTTTTTTTTTTTTTTACCTTAACAGAAGAGCACAGTTAAGCACTGGTCATTCTTGACTGCAAAGTCCTCTACAAGCCATTCTTCATGGAGCATAGCACTGATCTTTTCTGAGCTTGCAAGTCTTAGATTATTACTTGACTTGTTTTCCTACACTGATGTGGGACTTCTCTAGTTCTTATGACATCAGCAGCACTAGCATGTTCCAGTATCATTATCTGACTTGTCTGAAATTTCGTCTCTGCTACAATCCCAATTTTGTGTGAGTTAGAGGCATTACATTTGACAGCCTTGTTACATGGTACCCCTATCCACTGGTGGTTAACCTGTGATATTTCCACAGAGGCCACAATTCCAGACTGTGTTTATGATGAGATAAGCTTTGGTATAAGTTGTCTGAATTCCTGTCAGGGCTGTCCTTAAAATGGACAAATTCTCTCACAGTTACCCTTTAATATTAAGTTCTTAGGTAAAACAGAGATAAGTTACACAGTGTTTATAGGGATATTATCACATAAGACTCAACTCTCCACATTAAACCTTCAATTTCATTTCCTGCCACTCACCTTTGGTGTAATAAAGAAGTACTGAGATGTGCTCTCTTTAGAAACAGTTTTCACAACCATTTCAAAAACTCTTCTCTCATTCACTGGATCCATTCCCTAACAGAAAAAAGAAAGTAAGTCTGTTTTCTTCACTATGTCAAAAGCTTCTGTACAGTAAACGGTTATATACCACACTATTGATCCTCACCTGATTTATTTCATCTACAACCCTGAAAGGACATCTGTTGAGTTCCTGCAGAGCCATCAGGTACAACATAGTGGAAACACTTTTCTCACCTCCACTCTGATGATATGGATTCAATTCATGAAGTTCAGTGCCACTGTGGAATTTGACTCTAATGCGAATCCCATACTTGTCATACTCCTCCTATAAAAGTCAACACATGTTAAACTCTGTTTCTCTGTACTGTAGCTTATTTGATAATGACATGCAAATTGAAGGAAATTTATGTCAAATGTTCTATAAGGGTCTACGAACTACTCAGGTTCAACTTAATATCAATATATTAACTCTGTTTCATATATTTTCCTTGATTTATTCTTGTTGGACAGAGAATTTTCACTATCAGTCCCTCCCTGTGATCGTTTGTTAGTTTCTGAGTCCCTGGTAACAAAGACGTCATACATATTAAGAATGTTGACAAGAAGAAAAACATTCTCGGCTAGAAAAAGCAGCAAGCAATGCCTCTATAAATTCATTCATCAGAAAAAAAATGCACTAGGGTACAGGCATAGGTGTGGGGATAACAAATGTGGTTCAAAAGAAGGCCCACGCAAGGAAATACATTCATGATTTCTAAAAAAAAGAAAAGAAAAGGAAAAAAGTAGCCTTTGAAGTAATCGCTGATATTTCTGAAGTTCAGGTAAACACAGGAATGGGAATGCAATCCCCAGTGCAGAAAGCCCATAATGATTGCTTACTGTCTGGTCTACATAAGATGCAACCTTTATATGCACCTATCAAGTCAATGAGAGCTACAGGGAAGATTCAGAAGTTTCAGGAATATGAGTTCCAAGAGGTCTATCCTTATTCACTATGGAAGCATAAATCCTGCACTTGGAGGTGACTGACTCATGTTCTTTTGATAACACAGTTGTAATGCTTAGGGTAGGAGAAAGGAGTGGAGGTGATTCTGGAGGTGACTCACAGAATACTTCTAGATTGAGAAAAGACAGCTGTGGAAAAGAGACCATGAGGAACCTGTCCCATAGAAGCTGGCACATGCTGGTTTGGTTCACACTGCCATGTGCAACAGTCCTCAAAAGGCTTATGAACCTGGGTGACCTGGCAGAGCAGAGTCCCATTGTAGGGCTGGCTTTTATAAAGCACAACAAGGTCTAAGGCTTATTTACTTCATGGTGGCTTTTAAACTCTTAAAACTGCCTTAAGGAACATGAACTCTGTAGGAACAATTTTCATCACCTTTGCTACCTTTAGGTCTTGCTTTGGAATGAGTAATGTACATATCAGATAGCATCTAACATTGGAGAGGTTCTATCAAATCCTCTCATATCAGCTAATCTGTTAATAAGAAGAACAAGCCATCTTTTGGTGCTTCTGGTGTTTTACTACCCCTGCAGGCAGTCAAACATGCTCAGGACTGGAAAGTTAAGGTTTTGTATTGGTATTTACCACAAACTCCAGTTCTTCTGATATATCGGTATTACAGAAACATGGAACTGTAAATCCTTGAGGCTGAGGCAAATGCATACACACTTCAGGACAGAACGAAGGTGATCTTACATAGTTATAATCTCATGTTTGCTAAGTGCCAACTTTTTCCAATTTTGAAGACAGGTCACCTTTCTCACCCTTGATGTCTTCCCTGTTGGCAAGAGGCTGGCACTTCAAAGACAAACTGAAGACCTGCCTTGAAAAGGAGAGCTTATGACCATAACAGACACACTGGAACAAAGAAATGCTTAATGCAACTAAAACTACTTGCAAGCTGATTTTGCTTAGCATTTAATTCTCCCCCACTACGGAAGAAATTTCTTCTTTGGCATTTAATGCAGCTTATCAGAAGAACAATCAGCTTCTTGGATTTGCAGGTTGTAGTCTGATAGCCATGCCTGATAATCAGGAGCCTAGGAAGGAAAATTGTGGGGCATGCTTTCAAAACAAATGAATGCTGCTGTGCTGACCTTTCTGGAGGTAGTATTTTGCTAAGGGGAGCTAATAAGACATTCTCCTGACCAGTGAAGATAACAGCACTATAGCATAGATGAAGTTTTTCCATTTTAGTAGGATTTGGTGCTTAACTGTCATGATCAAACTCAACAAACCCACAGTCTGGCTTGCTTATGACAAGGAACACTTAGCATAGTCAAGGGACAAAATATCCTTAAGTTCACAATTTAGTTTGTGTTTCTTCTCTAACAGATACTTGCAGAGCTTTTGCTATACTGTTTGGAAAGTGATGAGGCTGTAGGACATCAAGAACACCATGATTTCATGTAAGGAGAAACAAAGAACAAGACCTAAGGCCTCCAGGCCCACCATACTTTCAGATGTATTCATTGGCACAGACTGAAACTAGGTTGGGAAGAGTGTACAAGACACAGGCTAGCAAAGCCTCCAGTAAAAAGATTTTCCCTCCAGCACAGCCACCATGGCTTCAGAAAGCTAGGCCTTCGTTGCCAGACTACTGGGAATGCCAGTTCATATAAAAGTGACGGATATTCCAGGACCTGTTAAGATTGATGCTCAAAACTCCCTGTGGGGAATCGAGGAAGGTGAGGTTTATCACTGCTAGCACTCTGAATTCTAGTTACCAAGTGTCCTGATTTCAGCCCCCCCCACTTCCCCTGGGCTGGGAGGAAGCCCAGCTAGAGGGCCAGGCTGATCAATCATTGGAGCATTCTGTATTGTGTGACGCCATGCTCAGTATATAGCTGGATGCGGGCTCTCTCTCACACCATCTTCAGTTTCCAGGGTGGCATGGTGGGATTTTCTGGTGCGGCCGGATCGCTGCAGTGTACCTGTCACCATGCTTGGTGAGCTACTGCCGCATTTTACCTGTTTTGGACTTACTGTTACTTCTGGTTTTGCTACTATTGAAATTTTTTTTTAAATTCAACCTACAAATTTCTTCTTTTGTCCCCCCCTATTTCACTGGGGAGGGGGGAGGTGAACAGCCGGCCACATGTCGATTGGTTGCCAGACGAGTTCAAACCACAACACCAAGTGCTACCAAGGAAAGTCAGAACGTTTACTGATGTTTCTGCTAGAACGTCAAGGAAGAACCTAGTCAAGTGTTTCACCCCCAGAAGGTACTATCACCAAGGACATTGTCAGCTTGCCCTTCAGGAACCTTGAGATCTAACAGAGGCTTGAACTTCAGTGTCACAGGAATATTTTTAACAAAGATCATTCTGTCTCAAGCATCTCTTTACAGGTCAGGGCAAGAGTCTCCTTCAGAGAAGAAGGATAAGGAATCCAAGCTCTAGAACAGATAATCCACCTCTCTGTATTATAGGCATTGACCCCGCGAGGAAAAGGTTTTAAGTCATTGGCACAGTACCACCAGCCCTCCTAAACTACCTGTTACATCTCTGGAGAGAGAAAAAAAAAAAAAAAAAAAAAAAAAAAAAAAAAAAAAAAAAGCAAGACCTTCCAAAGAAGGTATTTCTTTGCTTTTGAACAGCTTTACTGTTTTTCTGTGTACTCTCTCACAACTTACTTTAAGATAAAACATAGTATTTGTGTAATACAGATCTGACTCTGCAGGTAATTATCAAAAGAACTGAAGAACTATGTTTTAATGCCCTACTGTTTCATAATACTAGTTTCTATGTAAACATTTTTATGCAGTAAAGAACCTTGTCAGTCACTGTTCTGCCCCAGTAATAACTACCAAATAACTACCACTTCAAATATTTTAAGAAAAGCAGCTTGAGTAGCTTAGAACAGCCAAAAAGTGTTTGTCAGCTTTCACTATCGTGGAGTCTATGTATTACATATGAAAGTCTTAAAATCATCATTACAGGTATCAATCTAAAACAAAATAACCGATTTGTCTTAGCCCACTGCACTGAATATTCCTCCACAAGGTACTATTGATGCTTTAAACTCTTTATCAGAGCTAACCCCTGCCCATAAATGTTACTGAGGGTGTAATAGGCTGGGCCAAATGACTGCTACTTTGAAAACAGACAATATGCAAGCAGAATTGAGTAGAAACTACATGTAGAACCAAATCAATGCAACACTTAATAATAGTAGATTTAGCCACTAGATAGCACAAATTAACAAAATGTAGAATTAAATCACTAACCTAATCAATCTGAGTTAAAGCTAAAGTAAACACAATACTTCTAACCAAGCCCTGTGAGTTGCAAGAAGCTTCCAAGTAAGTGAGCTGAAGTCCTATGCATCCGGATATTTTCCTTTAATCAGACTTATATGTCAGTTCTAGCACAAAAAAGTGTGTTCATCAGTAAATGTTTACTGTTTTTTAAAAAATAACATCTTTCTGACAATCCAAATGACCATTTGTTATATTTGTCTATCATTATGCAAGCAAAAGATGATGCATGAAAAATGTTACTCTTCCATACAAAAAACATATCATACCTCATTTTCCACATGAAGATCAACTTCACCAACACACTGCATAGAACGAAAGAAGTTACCGAACTTCACATTAATTTTCCCAATCAGCTTTTTCAAGGGGTTTAGCCACCTTTCTTTGACCTAGAAGTAGACATAGACATTTTCATGCAAAATCATTTTTAAAAACTGAATTTGCTTCTACAGATAGCATTTAAATTAAAAAATATAATTAGAGAAGCTAAATCTCAGTTTATACTAAAGGTAACTTGGTAGTTACCCTTTATTTCTGTACATGCATTCTATTCTAATAAAGACATACTGATACAGAAGTGGTAATTTCAGCTATTACCTGTGAAATCTTTTGCTTATAGTCGTTCAATTCCTTTTTTTTTTCCTCTAGATATTCCTTCAACTGCTGTATCTCCTGAGTCTGCTTATTGTATTCTTCAACCTGTCAGAATAAAAAAAAGCAATCAACAAAATGTTTGCCAATTCTAACTCTGTCTGTAAAAATATCACACTGCACTGATTCTTTTCAAACACAATTATACAGATTATTGCACTGCACACTAAACAAGATACATTTCCTGCTTCAAAGCAAAGTAACTGTAAATTGTTGCTTATTTCAGGTTACTGCAACTTTTTTTTTTTTTCTAAAAAGGCACAGAACACACTGTTCTTTTGAAAGAACCTATTTAAAATTCTAATAGATGCAGAATCTGGCATTTACAGCACATTGTTCCTGCTGTCTAGCTTATTATACTAAGAGATCTAGCACAGAGTGGGAAGCAAGTACAATACGGGTGTAGGGAGAGGAAGAGAGGGAGGAAGGAAAGCAGTGAACATACTGAAACATTCAGGCCAGTGAAACAGGAGGCCCTGGTTCTCTCTTCATTCAGAAAAGCATCAATTTCCTCCAATGTGGTCGGAAGAGACTGAAAAGCCTACAAGAGAAAGGATGCAAACGTTACATAGCAATACTAATGAAACTCTCAAGTTTGCTAGAAAGAAATCGAGTAAGCCATAAAATACTCCATTACCTTTAATCAGGATGTCACATATTCAAAATTCCACATAGCAAAATTCCCTCAAACTATTCTGGACAGAGAAAGGCTAGAAATGCTACTGCATAACAAGGATACACAATGAACTGTTCCTTAGTTGTCTGCCTTGTGTCGGTACACACGCTCATAGACTTGGTATAAGCCAGAGGCTATGCTAGTTAAGCTGTGCAAATACTTCAGTTCTTTTGTGTTGCTTCATTAGAACAAGATAGAAAAATATGGCCTCTAATTATTTCTGTGAACACAAGACTATGGATTTTGATTGAAGTTTCAGATCAGATTTTCTCTCCCTGTGCATAGAACAAAGCAATAGTCCAAGGATAACCCAGCACTATTTAAAGGTGCTCTAAATGACAGTACATGAGTTATCACTAACAGAAGTACACATGATCCTTTACTGGTAGCCTTCTAATATAAAATATATAATATTATTTGCTGGAGAAGTTAGAAGGATTTACATCATCTAAAATTTAAGAAATATATGGAGATTTGTTTGTGTACATACAGTTTGGAATTCCATAGGAAGCTGTTGATTCAGACTCATTTTGCAAACATGTCGAGCTTTTTTCAGCAATTCCTTGCACTTTTCAGCAAGAACTTGCTTCCTATCATCCAGTTCATTAAATTTTTCCTGTTAGAAAATATATTAAAGATATTAAAATACATATATTTTTCTTTATTATAAATTTCCAGAGGTGACACTAAGCATACTAGCAACAAAGAACATCGATCAGAGAATATAGCTAAAATCAGACTGTTTAAAGATTGAAAATCTGTTTTAATACACAAAATTCATTCTGCCTCTCTGCTTGAAGTCAAGAGATGCCAAGGTAAACTGGTCAAAAGCATATTCTTGTAATATAGCTAAATTTATTTTCTGTCAACTAGACAAGTGTGCATGTAGATTCAATATATGTCTCAAAACAGACTAGAGGAAATTCCCTATAAGTCAAAATACACTACTGAGCTCCTTATTTTTTATTAACTACCATTTAACAATATTTATCTACCTGGGAGAACACGGTGGACAGGACATATACTGAATCGTATTTTAGTTGAAATTTTAGAGTAAACAATGACACAATCAGAAGTACTTCCTTTGCTGTTCCATATTCTACTTCTGTAATACAGCCAGCATAATACAAAAACGAAAACACACGTGATTTTTAAACTAGTGCTGAAAAATAAGTTAAAAGTAGGTATAGTTTCTGGTTTTGAACAGTGGTCTCAAGGCTAAACTCTTTGGCACTTACCATAGATAAGTGGCTACCCCAGACCTATGATTTTTATAATGCAATGTTATCACAATAGTAGTTAAAATACAATACACAAAATATGATACCTTCATGAAAGACTAAGCTAAAGATTATCTCAAATAAACAGTATTCAGGCAAAAAAACTTTTAGAACCTTAAGTATCTCTTCCCCTTTGTCCCAAGAAATCTCACTCACTTCTCTATACACATGGTCCCTACTGCAGGCCTGCTGCTTCCAAATGCTAAACTGGCAGTGCTTGGGAGTAATCACTTGCTGCTGTCTCCCAGCTCAAGTGAGCACCCAACTGGAGATAGATGGAAGCTGTCAACCACTTAAGAAGTGACAAGCAGTACACCCCAAGAAACCAGGGATTTTACTCAGTAATTACACATGCACCTTTTTAACATACAGTTACACCATGGGAATACACTGGTTTTTACTTTTATCAAAGGCACACAATTCTAACTCAAAATCCATATGCACAGTATTTTGCTTCAGAACTTTCTTCTGAAAACTTGGAAGGTTTACTTAAGTTCCTACATTTGGAGAGCTTTATCTTCCCAGTTTTTATTGTTGTACACTTCAGTTAAATATGGGAGCCCTCCAGTGGCAAAAAAACCTCTGAAGTGTTTGTTTGGAGAGGATACAGTTAGGTAAATATTTATTCCACATTTTTAAAATACAGGACACAGACATTGATAGCAACTCACATTACCTTCTGGCAATTTAATTAATCTTTACTAAATACAATCATGAGTGATCATCGATGGAGTTCTTACACTCAAGAATTAGGGTTGCTGTTCTCTACAGCATGTATCAACTAAAAAATCCTGGGTTTCCCTCCCTCCACCAATCACTAGGAAACAGATTCTGCATTAGAGGTAAGCATTTCGCAGTGTTCAGAAACACAATGTAAAGCTAATTTTTCTACATTGGGTTGATGTTTTCAGAAAGGTTAAAAAAAAAAAAAAGGGTCTTATTTTAGATATTCCCTCTCCACTTCATAAGGTCTATTGTAGAGAAGCAGGAAAATGTCACATGGCGGGGGGGGCAAAAAGGATTGGCATTAAGCTATACAGATAGAACACCAATAAGTGGAAGATGGCCCTCCTTCTGGTTACAACCAAGATTTTATGTCATTAGCACAAATAAAACTGTACACTACGACTTATATTCCATTACACATCTGCATATTCCATTCAATAAACAATTTTAGAGAATATTTTAGAAACTTCTAAAATAAAATTGGACTACATTTTGGATCCCAGATATTGAAAAGCCACGTGGCTTCATCTGAAATGTGCCTGACCTCATGATAATAGAGACAAAGGATCCAGTGAAAAGCAACACATACATATTTTTTTATACAAGAAACACCAATTTTATACTTATGTGTTTTGACCATTTCCAGAGCTAAAGCCAGTTCTGAATCATCTGAAATGGGGAATCTTATCTCTCAATTGTACAAAAAATTCCCATTTGAAACCCTGCAGAGTTGCATGAAACAAGATTTCAATTTTATCTCTAGGCACTGAAAATCTGAAATAGATTAAACATTGAATCTGACCCAAGCCTAAGGCAAGTATAATTCTTCAGGGCGCAAAAATGAAAATACATGTTCGGGCAGAGGAAAACCTCAGCATTCAACAGGGAGGCTGGAAATCAACAGACATTTGATGTGGTTGTGAAGCATATACTGACATGCATAAATGCATTGACAGTTCAACAAGTCTCAATTTTGATTCAGCTTTGTCAGTTCATTGTCATGGCAATTAGGTAAATATAAATAAATAAAAATACCCAAGTTTTGATTCCTTCTCCCTCCTATATATTCAAAAGTGCATGGCAATATTAAGGTTCCTGTTGATTTCCTGAAGGCGCCTCAATAAAACCATCTAGATAAAAAAGTAACTAAGTAGAAAGAAGTACCATCTTGCATAGAGGTGCTACAATGAAAATCATAGCCTAGAGCTTTACATTTGTTTGAGCCAACAGCATAAGAACTGGCCTGGAAAGATACCTTTATTCAGGTACTTCAGAAAATTCTGTACTAGTGTGGGGCTGTGATTACAGCTTCCTGAAAGGCAGCTACCAAACAGCAGAAACAATATTCTATATGCACAAGCAATCTGTATTCTATTGTGCTCATCAGTAATGCAACTGGTTTTGTGCAAAATAAGAAGCTGGTTAAAGAAAATATAGTTACCAGTAGCCAATGTTTTCTCATTAATTTGTGTTTAAACACATGCATGGTGACAGTATTTAATTATCTGAAGTTTGGGAATTTATACATAGAAAACCAGAATCTTCATTTTCTTAAAACCTGGCTTAAGGAGCAAATGCTGCAATGTACATACTAAGTATTAATAGCAATTATTTAAACAAATTTACACCAAATGAACCTGAAAATTAACAAGCTATCAAAGTAAGACAATTAGCAAGACTCTTTCAAACAACCATGATAAACATGCAGGCAACTGTGCCAATTATCTAAGAGCAGATGGGGCTAACAATTCTCCCTAATGTTCAGTATGGGTCACCAAACACAGATTAGCTTCCTAGGGTCATTAATTAAATTCAATACTAAGAGTTGTTAAAATAACACTGAGGTTCCCACTTGAACTGCAGTGACAAAATACAAACCCCAGAAATCTGTTGCTTCTAACTTGACTTGTTCAAAAACATGTACTTTTTTGGCCTTTCCACCTAAGTAGTTAAAAAAAACCCTGCCACAAAGCAACAAACATGCTGCTCTCTCTGCAGTATCCCAGCGTGAAGATGTCACAAAAGGAACATATGTGATCTTTTTTTAGATATACTAAGTGGGATTTGTACTTGCTTCAAATCTTAAATCAGATACTCAGGTATTACAAAGACTCAAGATTGCTTGGAGAGATAAAGACTATGAGTAAGCTCTAAGTATTAACAAAGTTTCACAGCTTCTTTGGCTGATACCCACCATTCCAATTTCAGTGAATGCATCATGACCGGCACATGACCTACAAAAATGTCTGATGATTAAATAGGGAAGTAATGGTCCCATAATTGTAAAGTTTAGGCTCCAATACTCAGATTTTATACAACACATTTGTTTCTATTTCTGTTTGGCTTCCTCCTTTTTGCAGATTCATTTATTTTATAAGAACATAAAGCAACTGTTTGCACAACTTCCAAAGCTGCCCATGAGGGTGACATCACAACACTTAGGGGAGCAAGACTACCATAACGCAGTAGTGCTGTAGAAAAAAAATTATCACAGCCAAAGCCACCAAGAAGTTGGAGAGAAGGGCCAATTTAAACCTATTATTACAAATAACACTTAATTTGAGATGAAGTTAAGAAATACTGAGGTTTTCCAAGAAAGTGTATCGCTTCAGGCAGCGAATAAACCACAGAATGTACAACAAATATATTCACAAAAAAAAAAAGGGACGGGGCTAAAGATTTAATTCAAAAAGACTCAATCAACATACAGTATATGGGGAACTGTGGCTTTGGACTTCCACATACATGAAAGCTTATGATGTAATTGAACACTCAGAAGAGTTTTCCTCCAGAGAAGTTAAACTTCCCAAAATTCTAATCACTGAGATTACTGATTTGGGGGCTTTTTTTCTATTTTAATGTTCCTAGAACCAACCATCCAAAACAGAAGCTCTGATATGACTTCCTCTACTTATGTGGTTGAATGTAACCTAGTAATGACAATTAATGGGACTTCAGCTGACTCAAATACCTCTTCACTAGGGAAGGAGGCAATCCTTATTTCACCAGGAATTACCAGAACACTTTTACCTTACCCATCCTGTTTACTGATCTGACCAGACATCTACTTGTCCATCAGCCCAAGCTACTATCTAAATGTTGGAGAACATGGGGACAGAGAACTAAAAACATTAAATAAATTTCCCAGTGACTACACACATGAGGTTCACAGCTCTGTAATGTATTTTCACTCCTTACCATGCTCCAGCAATGAAGTTATTTACACTGGATTTTGATAAAAGTCTGAATAACAGCTGCATCACATGACAGAACTGATGCAACAGTGATTTTCCAATTAATATGCTGTACTTGTCTCTGTCTTCAAGTTATTTTTTGCTCCTTTTAGGAAGTTCTCCACTTCCTAACTTTCCTACAAGTGATGATACCTATAACCTCAAGTGGTTTTCTAAATACAGACCAAATACTTTTCATGCTTTTTGGAACTGCATATCCATCCAAAATAACTATCACTTACCTTCTGAACTGCTTTCAAATTTAACAGCAATTATTCCATTTTTTAATCTTTTAAATAAAATTGAATTAGTAGTAAGTTATAGTTAACCTGACTCTTGAAAGACAACCAAAAAACTTGCCGTCTTGTACTTTGACAATTTATTCTCTAGTACACTGAAATACTGTGCTACACAAATACAAAACCTGATCTCTATGCACCAATCCATGAGAGATGACAGCATCCTTTGCTCTTAGAAAAGAATACTTGACTGTGGAACTAATTCCTCAGAGACTGTCTTTTTACTTGAACACAGCACAGCTTCCTAATATGATCAATAGAACGACTGTTTACTCTCCTTCCTGTCCTCCAAAAAATGTATTTACAGTATGAGAATATAAAATATGAAAGAAAAGTAAAACAGCTCTGCTCCACTCCAATACATACTTTCTGGTTCATCTTGAGCTTACATCTCCCATATGGGTTGGGGCTACTTATCTGTGACAGAAGAAAAATAATACTTCCACGTAACAGCTAGCCTCTTTACACACACTATTCATTATAACAAAAAGATCCAGGACATGACGACTGTTCAGCACATTTTCACAGAAGCTTAGGTTTCCTGACTGAGGAAGGCAAAGCTGCTACTGAGCTTTAAATGAAGAGACTGAAGTCAAACTACAGAAATCAAGGCTAAATATTTAGCAGTACTAATACTCATTTCTAAACAAAAACACAGAAGCATACTTTCCTACACCATAAAGACTTCCACAGATGTTTTCACACCAAATATCCCAGTATTCACAGAAATGGTTACCTCTGCAGCTCTTAGCTGTATACTTGCTTCTTTATAGTCTGATTCTAGTCTGTTCTTCTCAGCAGCCTCTGTAGCATTCTGAAGAACCAAATCTACTTTGAGGATGTTCAGTGATATGCAATTCTATATAGAAAAACAATAAATATAATTTGTTTCCACAGCAGACTCATATGATCACTATCAGACTTTAGAAACTGTCAATTTTTCAGTCCCAGCATATGATCACACTCTGTATTCAGTTCTTTAACACTGCAGTCAAATTCAATGAAAAAAATAAAGGTGACTGATTGGTGACGCAAGCTCTTCAAGATGTATAGTTCCCACATACTTTTAATCTGTAAGCACATACCTATCACTTGCAACCAAACTATTTTACACCAAAAAAAAGGGACATGCTTTTTCCCTACACCCTATACTCACCTGTGAAACTGAGAAAAGACAAAGCCATTCTCAGAGACAGAATCCAACAGGTGGATTTTGGTAGACTTCATAAGTCACTGAGATGGAAAAAGGTCAAAAAATAAAGACATATGTGCCTCTCTCACTGAGAATGCAAGATGACTGACCGAATGTACAGTGACTCATGTCTTAACTGAAACAGCATATGACAAGAGAAGCATATGACAACAGAAGGAGGCTCTATTTTAGAAGTTCCAAAACTGACTTTAGTGATCCCCAGAACCTGATTTGACAACTCTGACACTAAAAATTATTGCTTCTTTAAACAAGTCAGACTTGGAAATTGTCCAGAGGCTTAAAAATGAGCAATATAAACTTGATTGTGTGAAGGGTAGCTTCAGATCTTGAATGACAAGGCACTGAGAACACCATCTTTTTTTTTTTTTTTTTAAATTGTCATATAAATACAAAGGAATCCTCTCTCTTAATGAAAGGGAGGACAAGCTTCCAACTGTAGACCTAAGGGAACTGCAGGATGAAGTTTGAGTGTTAGCTTCTGACCACAATAGCGAGCCAAGGTCTGAGATATTTACTATTTGTCATATCAACACAAAGTTTCTAGTGTGAACTAGGACATAGGTATAAGTTTGTTTCCAATCCACTTAAACAGTTTGAAAACAATTATCAGGCAAGTCAACTGAAAAAAAAAAAAAGTTGTAAAGAAAGGAGATGAAAAATGGAAAAAGTCAAGGTTGTTCAAAAGCAACAGCACGAAGACAACTACATGCAAAAGCAGTGCCCGAATATGAAACAGTAGAACAAGGCTATTTCTGCCAATTGGTTGTAGAGTACTGACATGTATTAATAAGTGCCAGGTACACTCTGCCTTGTGTATTGGTGTAAAGATACATGAGCCTGTCAACTCTAGTTGATTGTTCCATATCAGCCCCAGAACTCTTAAAACAGATCATACTGCCACCACACAAATATACAGAAACCCCATGCATGTTTTACACTTCCTTCTGTGGCAGAAGTGACTATGCCCAAAACATGAGTACCTTAGTTTTTATCACTTTAATAGCCTACAGCTATTATAACTACAAAACCAACTGAAAAAAGTACAAAGACTCCCATAACCTTGGGACCATTTACGAAGATTGGCTTGAGGATGACCAGAAATGTATGTATTTCAACAACTTTGATAAAATCTGTAATGAAACATCTTTCTTGTATGAGTCCATTTTCTCTTTTCAGTACATACTAGCATATATTTCCTAAACAAAGGGTGAAAATTAAGCTTTTGTAATCAATAACTATTTCAGGCAAATACCACCCATCTTCCCCTTACACCCTGGTACACTGAGAAATATACAGTATATGCCAAATCCACTTTACTCTACTGGATGAAAAAAATTAAGACACTCCTTCTGTCAGATCATAGAGCAGCCAGTAAACAACTTCAGCTGCACTTTACAACAGCAACACACTTAGACAGTTTATGTACTGGGAAATGGGCATCAAATACAAAAATCAAAAGCATGTTCTAGAAATTCCTGTTCTAAATTACTGTTATTACCTGCATAAATTCTGCAAGTTCTGTAAAGTAACCTACAGCCTAAGAAACCCTTTTAACATGGCAGGTGTCTTCTACCATGGTTTGGAATTTTCAAAATTACCTTAGCCAGCTGACCCAAAGGTGATCTCTGAAACACTCCAATTGTTGCAGCCCGTATCTATCAGCAAACAAAAACAGCCCACCCATTTGAAGTAATTTTTTCTTTCTTTATTATATAAATACTAACAACTCAAATATATTGAGATCAGCCTCACTTCAAAGGTAATAACTCTTTACAGGGGTAAGCAAGAACACATTTCAGTGTTAGGAAGGCACAACAAAGGAACAACATATATGCTCAAAGCTGCAAGAATGGTACCACTTCTTGCTGAGTGCAAAAGCACAAGTAGATTCCCTTGGAACTGAAGGTAACTGTTTCTTGATCCTTGGTCGTTTAAATAAAAAAAAAAAAAAATTCACTTTGTGGCAGCTCCCATTATTAGAGCTTACAGGCTAAGCTAAACCAATTAATTTCAAACTGGTTTCTTCTTTCTGAGTTAAAGAAAACCCCATGACACTGGAGCCTGAGACCTGAATACTTTTCACATCTTAGCTCTCTTCTGCAATCATAGATCCTTAGAGTTTCAGGTCAATTTTTCAAGACTACACTTTTTTTTTTCCAATAAAAACAAAACTAAGGAGATTATGAACTAGAGTGGAAGGAACAGTTCACAGGCTTATGCAGTATTCTGAAAATGCACAGGCCGAAATGGTTACAGCAGCTCATTCCTAGTCTTTACTGAATGAGACCACGGATTGTGAGACTTCAGGTGACTGAGAGTCTCAATAAATCAATACAAGCAATCTACAAATTGAATCAGTAATAGATGAACAAGTTCAAATTCATAAAAGCTTCCAAAGATGTTTATCTTGAAGCAAGTTAGTTCATAAACATTTACAGTAACAAATCTAAATTCTGCATATTGACTTAAGTTACAAGAACTGGACTTTTCATAATAGTGGAACACCTACCAAGTTAAAAATACATACCTTTATGAGATGCATTAATTCAGTTACAAGTTTTGCTTTCTGGGTATTTATTTCTTTGATCTTCGCATCTGCCTGTTGAGATTCTTTCTCTAGGTTGATAGCATCTTGTTCCAGCTGTTTTAAACTATGTGAGGAATCAATATTTAATCAATCCCGATTAAAAACAGATTGTACAAAAATACAAAGATTTTTCATTTTGATGATGAACCAACAGTTAGCAAGAATAGGAGTTTGTATACCTAAATATTCCAAACACATTAGAGGCATTCCCAATCTATGCATGCTCAACCTAAGAAATTAAAAAGACAAAAAAATTGTAATTAAAGAAAATCTAATTTTGGCTTCTATGGGCATCACTCAGCAACTACACACTTTTACTTTTCTAAGTTTCAGATTTAAAAAAAAAATCAGCATAAGTATGACATTTTATTTCTGCTGCTAGCTCCTTGCAACAATACCACATAGGAAAGTTCAGGAGGTCTGCTTAATTATCGCCATATATACTTGCAAAAAAATTCGTGTCTTCAACTTACCACAGAAAACCAGAATTTTCACACATTTTAAACCTCAAAACCACAAAACTATGAATAACTTTATATGAAGTAATCATGATGCTTAGTGAGCTGCAAACTAAAAACCAATCATTCATACTTTGATACCTGGGAAAACTATGGGGCAGGTCCCCTCAGAAAACAATTCTAGAGGCATAAGAAAGAAGGTGATCAGGAAGAATCATCAAGTATACATCATACATGATAAACCCAACTGTGAAATGACTGGATGACAGGAGATAAAGCGGTTGCCATTTACCTCACTTTTAGTAAGGCTTTCTGTTAGAGGTTATCTGATAAAAGTTCACCCACACACCCAAAAAGACAAGACAGTAGCAGGTGGAGGAAGCCCAAATAATACCCTATTCTGGATACATCCAGTCCATCACAGAAGTCATCAGTCCATGAAGTGTCCATCTCCACAAGCCCAGATGAGAAAAGGGCACCCTAGCAGGCAGGAACCCAAATTAAGGACTCAGAGGAAGGGACACCCTGTCCAAGGACAACCTCAGCACCAGCATCCAGGTGTGAAACCGAACAAGGTAAGTCAACACCACAGTACCCTCTGGACTGAGGGAGGTTGTTTTCTGAGGGTATAGAAGATGTTATGGGATGCACAGAGAAACATGTTGAAACTGTACAGGACTTACTATTGGTTATTCATTGGAGAAACCAAATGTGGAGAAAGGGAGGGATCTAGTTGACTTGGAGAGAAACAAGTGTGGGAAAACAGAGGGATATGAGGATAAAAGGGACAGTTACATGTACATAGTTGGCTGGACAACACACTTATCTAGCCATACCTAACTGGCACACCCTCTTCTTATGAATTCCATTTTTCACTACTTTCCTGGGTGAGAGACTCTATTCAGCACTTGTGTGTGTATGGGAATCTAAGTACAAGCAATTATAGCCAGATCACATGTCAGAGGAGGAGGTCTGTGGTGCCAGCAACTGGAGAGACCAGAGTGAGTACTTACATGACAGCCACTGGTGGGACCACAGGTCAAGAAGCCTGTGTGTCCATGGGACCAGCACCTTGTACAAGTGCAGGTGTGCAAGTGTCTGTTTGATCCCTAGCAAAGACCAAGCCAGACTAGCTGGCAAGTAGGTGAGTGGTCTGGGAACCAAGGGAGTGTGTCAATAACGGTGCAAGCACAGGAAGAGACAGCTACTGGAAGGACCAGGGGAGTCCAGCCTGGCTGCCAGAGACCATGAGGTCTGATGTCTCTAGGGGTGACACCAGTTGGCATTTAAGGCTAAGATGACAGGGGTACTGGATGCTGGGGACTAGAGGAGTCATGGCTACCTCTTCACATCTGTATGCCTGTGTTTCTCTAAGGACAAACCCACAGAATTAGCTACTGGGAAATCAGGAGGTGCCAGACAGTTCTGCATGTGTACAGACAACTGGAGCAAGGCTGCAGCCTCAAGAGGTTTGCATGCCCAGGTACCAACAACTGAGGAGACTGGTCTAAGCACAGCTACTGTGCAGACTCAAGAGTGTCTGGACCCAGCTGCTGACGGGATCCACAGTGCCCGTATGTCTGCATAAGTCTCACTAGGGCAGCCCTGTCATGCTCGGAGTAGGAACATGATGAGGCCACTGGTGCTGTGTTTGCCCTGTTGCTCTGGATGTCTATCTGTGCTGTGTGGCTGGCTGTGCGTAAATACATACATATATGCTGTTTAGATGTGCTCTGTGTGAATGGGTCTACTGGGAAGACAGGTTCAGCCTCACTAGTGGTTGCATCAAGGCAGATTAAGCAGCATTAGCTCCAACCCTCCTCTCAGGCTGCTGGATCCAGACCCCTTCCCCTAGCTTTTTCAATGTTGTCTCCCACAATATTGCTGTACTCAAGAAGCCTGGATAAGCAAAAAGAAGTGGTTGGATGGTCAGGCTCAGAGGGTCATGGTTAGTCTGTTGTATTCTGCCTGGAGACCAGTATCAAGTGGGGTACCACAGGATTAGTCCTGGGACCTGTCCTGTCCTGCCAGTGATACAGAGGAGCAGACAGAGGGCACTCCCGTCAAGCTTTCAGATGACACTAAACTTTGGGAAGCAATAGGTAAGTCATTCAGTGGGGCTCTGCTGAGGCTGGAGGAAGAGGGCAACAGAAGGCTTGTGAGATTCAGCATGGACAAATGCTGAGTCCTGCTCCTGGCAAGAAAGTGGGTCTGGCACTGATACACGCTCAGGGCAGACTGGCTGCAGAAAAGCTCTGCAAGGAAGGACTTGAGGTACTGGTGGACAATATGCTGAGCACAAGTCAACAGTGGGCCCTACCAGCAACAAGGTTCTGCAGGATCCCTGGCTGTATGAATGGAAGCACAGGCAAGAGGAGAGTGTTTTTTCCTCTCTGTTCAGCACTGCACCCAGTGACTCAACACCAATCATCAACAGCATTTTGCTCCTGCCCCAAACATCAACAAACCAGAACAGGTCAGAGGCTACATACAGTACAGGCCCTGCAAAGACAGGATGAGGGTGCTCAGCTTGTTTACCCTGGACAAGAGACAGCTTTGGGGCACCTAACAGCAACCCCCCCACTATCCTTCCAAAAAGGAAGCCACTGACAGGATGGAATCAAGTGGTGCACGGTGGAAGGATGACATACAGTGGACATAAGTTGAAACAAACAAGATCCTGGCTGGATGTCAGTAGAACATTTTTCCCCATAAGGACAGTCAAGCAGTGGAAGAGGATGTCCAAACAGATCATGAAATGTCCATGAAGACTTTCAAGATTCAGTGAGATGCGGCCCTGAAAACCTGGTCTGTATTCAGTGTTGACCTTGCTTTGAGAACATGACTACATAAAGTCCCTTTCAATCTAAGTGATTCTGCCATTGTACATTACTTTCAAAATTTTATCCAGATTTATTAAGATATTACCAATCAGAAACATGAAGATTTGAAAATAGTGATACTCACTGCAGGGATTATTTAAATAATTTCTATTGCTATAGAAGGACATCCACATTATACCAGAAAATTTCTAACAGTCTTGTTTGTGTGAGGATTCTTAGCTCTATTCAAAATTAGAGTGCAATTATCTCTTTTAAAGGAAAGGATTTAATCAATATTTGTTTAGGTAAAGGGTCTACCTCCTGCCTTCAAACCATATTCTATACTCTAGTAAAGCACCATGACAATACATGTATCTCTAATAAGAAACCTGAGAGCAATATTTGGCTTTGAGGCTAAGCTCACAATCACACTGCTTAAAGCTGTTTCTTTCACAGTAACCTGGACCTTGTGTCTATACAGCAGTTGATTCTGGTCCCACTCATATCCTTACAGCCCTATTTTTCTCTTATTCAGGTGTCCCCCCCCCCGCCTCACCGCCATTCCATGCACCACAAGTAGTACAAGAGGTGTGCACACAAGCACCAGCACTAACTTTCAGAAAATGAAAAGCAGTGCAGCATAAGAACATTGAGGAGTATTTGAGGGTACAAGGTTTGCCAGAACTGTGTCACAGAAGTGGAGGGAGTGAAGCCTGGGGCAATCTTGTCTACACTGCCTTCTGGGAGTGTGAGTTTAAGTGAAACACCATGCAGGTTGTCCTGTATGACAAAGCAGTAACAAAAGAACTAATTGTAGATGCCCACAGAACCAGAAAATATGTTAAGACAAATACTGTGAACAATCAGGGTCTGACTTGATCCCTGACATGCTTAGCACCGTTTACATACGTTACAGTAATATGTGCTACCAAGACAGAAGACTATGGTAATATTTGGGTAAATGTGTGTAATGATTTCTCACTGGAATCCTATTATTTTATTACCAGAAACCACCTGGAACATTGTTACATGGTTGATTAAACACAGTCTTAAACTCCATTTCTAAACAAGTTCTTTGTCTTATCATCACCTGTATCAGATGCTCAGCTATTTACTTTGTAAGTAAGTACACACCGAATTAAGAGGAAGCCAAAATACCTTTGTGACTAAAACTGCTCATGTTTCAAAGATAATATGGCTTGTTTCCTACCTATCATACTTGGCACTGATTTTTGATTGCAACTGTGTCCTCCTGTTTCCTCTATCTAAAAGCTCTTTCTTCTGTTGTCTGAGCTCATTGTCTCTCTGTTCCAGATGTTTCCGTCTCTCAGACAGTGTAGACAAACGCATATCCAACGACTTTAACTTGTTATTGATGTCCTGAAATAAAAGAACACACACCATTAGCGTTCTCACTACAAACATACCATACTAACACATACAAGTAGGTTATGCCTATTGCAAAATAAAGAGGGTAGTAGTTCACATCATACACAGCTCAGAAATAAATTCCTAATAAATTCCTACCTTTTGTTGGTTTTCCAATCGTCTTCTTTCATCTATATCCACCGAACCTGTGAGAAACTCTGCCTCCCTCAGGGATGTGTTAATAGAGAGGGTTAGGTTTGTATAAGCAGATACTTTAATAATGTATTTTTCCTCTGCTGTGTACATTTGCTTAAGCTTGGTTTCTTTTATGACCTAAAAAACACACACCAATATTAATCTGACAAAAGTGTCACTTAAGGCAATGCTTTTCAGAACAAAGAATAAACAAGGTAAAATCCACAGTAAAGACCTTCAGCTTATGCAAGACTCTGACTTGTTAACAAGCCTTTGCAAACAGATGATGCTAACTTTAATGCACTGCTATACTTGTAATTCAGACCAGTGAGCAAAGAACTATTAAGATACTGTCAGAGTATGTTAACATAAGCAATTAAAGAGGTTCTGATTATTCCTATATTACAGCTAGACACTGGAAAAACCTGTTAATATTTGTACTGCACCATGAACAAGGATTGTACTGCTGTAGATGCATAATATACAAATGTAGCCTGTGTACCAGAGAGCCAAAACACATTTAAGAAATTAATAGATGAAACCATAAAGATGAGGTGTAATGCATGAACTTTAGTGAAGTAAATGTATCTGTATGGAAAAAAAGACGTATAAAAATACTAGCGTTACTATTTTTAAATGACTCATGTCAAAAAAAATATTATAAATAACCAAAGATTTACCATAACACAAGGTAGTACAGTACTTCAAAAGGATATAAAGTGTACAGTAAAGCAGGAACAGATATAAGTCTCCAGAGAACAATGTAAATTTGACTAAAGATTTTTTCAGTTTATATACACAGCAATATTATGTAGATTTGGTTCCTGGACACTGAAAACAGGCTTATGTTGCTTTATAGCTCAGACTGTGGTTGATCACATTTCCATCTTAGTGGTTTTTCCACATGCTCAGCTCTATGAATCAGTTCTCCCTTTAAACTTTCTCTGGCATGTGTGAAACAAAATGTTGCAAACAACGCATTTTTCAATCAAAAATAGTAAAAAAAAAAATAATTTATACGACTGAACTGAGAAAGTGTCATGTGTAACACATTCAGAATAGTGGCTCATCTTTGCCCCTAGATCAGGGATTTTTTCACTTGCTTCCTACAGACCTCTGGAAAGGATGGAGTATCTAAGGCGTAGTAACGACTGGTTTACAAAATGTAACTCAAAGATCTATTATATAGTTAATCTGCTTCATCAGGTGATAAACATGGAGTAATGGAAGAATTGCAGTTTAAAAGTCAAAAATGCTCAGAAAAAAAATTAAGAGCTTTTCATCTAGGACTCCTTCCACTTTTACTTTCCTCTTAGAAATCTCTCATCCTTAGAGCCTCAGAAACATAAGACAGGAAGGAGCAACAGCTACCCCAATAAAACAGGAACTGCTCTCTATTTGCAGAGCCTGTTCCCCCAGTTTTTAAAAAAAGCAACTCTTCTTTTCAGAGAGACCAAAGCAGTCTTTTGAAACCAAAGAAGAGTTCATTCTCTTGTACAAGACAGACAACAGATGTCCACCAAAGACAGAAGAGTGAATAAAGATTTAAACTGAAAACTGTCAGGTGTGTTAGCCATTAAAAGCCAGCAATGCTTAGCTTGCAAGAACCCATGAAAGACTAAGGTAGGGAGATTATTCCTAGTGGGAGCTCTTAGTCTATTTCTAAGAATCCAAAAGGTTTATATATGATTTACCACATCAATTCTGATTGAAGCTATACAACTGTATTTGCCCGAAACCGAACACCTTAACATATTTTTTTAAAAAATAGCAGCTTCTAATTGTTGCTTTAAACACGACAGGTCAACATTGTCATGTATTGTTAACTGTTGATTAAAATTTTGCCCAGAATATCTTAGGCACCTGAAGTAACAGTTATTATAAAACAACTTCATAAAACTGACCTGAAACAGTATGCAGGTGAAAGATATATTTAACTTCTGTGAAGTACTGCATTAGATTGACTGGATTTGTTAAAACATCTTGCAATATGTTTGTGTACAATGTTCTCAGTTCTAAAGGCCAAATAAAAGGCTAAAGCAATTTTTTGTTTTCTCCACATTAACTTGCCAAAGAATTTCTGAAATAAAACTCTAGATCACAGGTGTGTTTGTGCTATGCAGGACATCTCACCCTTTCAATCATGTTTCTGGTCTTCTCTGTTCCCACAGGGACATCATGAACATGGTACTGGGAGCAAAGATAACTCATCACAAGACGAGGAGCATCAAATAACTCTCGTAAATATGAGAAAAATCCATATTGGCTGAAAAAGGAGTAAAAAAAAAAAAAAAACAACCATGCATGAGAAACAGAATTTTGCTGATAAGCAAGCTCAAGTTACTGAAAGGTCAGAAAGCACTCCTGCTAAGCCAGAATTGAATTGGGGAAAACTTGATTTGAATAGAAAATTCTAACATATAGCAACAACATCAAAATACTGTATTTAAAACCATTTCCCACTGACATAATCTGATACATACTGTAATTCTTCAATAGGTCTCGAAGGTAAGCTTTTAGCACATGATTCAGCAGGCGAGCATACAGCATTCACTCTTAGTTTCTGATGATCACGCATCTAAATATAGATTACATTAGATTATTTAGTAAAAAAAAACCCAAAACAGAAAAATTCACTACATAAAAATCAAGTATTTGTTCTTGATTCACAGAATTTGAATTATTTTACACTGACAACCTCTGGAAGAACACACAAATATCCACTCTGGCTCAGGCATGACTCAGTTCTCTAAAAGTCAGGTTCAGTTAATGTCTATCCGTTTAAATACCATGCATTAGAGAAAACAAAGCAATCAAAGAAATCCAGAGCTAGGTGCTCAATTGAAATAGCCAAGCTGGATGTAATAAGGAAAGCCCCTCTTCCAGGCTTTATGGCCATTTTGCACAGATAATGGCAGACCACTGGCTAGAGAGGCTCTGAAAAGTCTGATCCTAACAGGACAGAAAAGATTGAGGATACAAATGAAACATCCGTTTAGCTGGTTAAAGCAGCTTTGCACTAGGTTTCACAACCATGGAGACAAGACAAGCCCTCAGAACCTCAGATATCACCACTCCTGTTCACATATATGAAAATGACTAGCTTCTGTGAAGGGCAGATAGGTCTTCAAACATTGCAGGACAGCTTCTCATTAATCACACTACTCCGTGGACAGTAGTGGGAAGCATGACAGTTATTGCCATATCTTGTGGCTTTTTTCTCCTGCACCATCTGTCTGGCTCTCAAAGCAAACAACCTCCTTATCGCTCCAGGAAACAGCAGTATTAAGAAAGTATAAGCCTGATTTCTGCTTGGACCATTGTCTTCTAACAAAAGATGTCCTCTCGCCTCTTTAGTCAGGAGGCATTGGAAAAACACAGTACTAAATTTGTAGCTTCATGTTCTTGTCATTTTCTTATACACAGTTTCTTCTCCTTAGTGATTACTGCCTTGCCAAGGAACACGAAACATTTCTCGGAAAAATATTCCTGCATCCCTCCAGTTGGTCTAGGCTTTAAAAATAAAAAGAATATCTTACTCCAGAAAAACACGCAAGAAAAACCTTTGAATACCTTATATTACCAATTGCACCGATCTTGCCAATCAAAACTTAATAAATACAGACTTACTTGGTAGACTCCAAAGTTTAGGGCTCCTACATCAGTACTTAGATCAATTTTAACATTGGTGCCTACTTGCCTGCATAAGAAACATTTCCATATCTTCTTGACTCTCAAAAACGAAAGCCCTCATGTCATTGGACGATACGTGATTTTCAACATACTTAGCATGTCTACTGTCTTTCATATTGATCTGATAGTGAAAGGTAATGAGAAAGTCATTTAATACAACTCGACTTAACACCTCCCCCAAAACATTTTAAGCAGCCACATGATATCCAAGCATACATGTAATGAAAACAAAGACAAGTTTAAATGTCTTTAAAGACATATTCCCTGTCATTTTGCAACTAATTCCCTTGGGAAGAAACCTACAGTAACTCACATGTCATTGTGTTTAGTTTTTAGCCATCCATATCTTTTCCCAGCATTCATGGAGCTATCACCATCTCCACCACACCACATCCCCCACTTCTGCTCCATCCTAACTTAACAATTGAAACCACCACCATCTCATGTCTAGTGGCTTTGCTTCAGTACTAAAGGTATATCACTGTTTAGAAGCAGTTAACCAAAGGAATCAAAACCACAAAATGCCACACTCCACAAATTATTCATAAGAGTTCCCTTTGATTTGGACACAGTGAACACCACCAAATACAGAATTGTGAAGCCCTCGAAAGACAGAGATTCACAGATTGATTGAATTCTTAGAATTTTTTTTAAAAAAATTTAAAACCCATGTTTAAGATCAATGACGCTTTTTGTACTTGAATGAAATGTTAATGTTAGAACTCTTCAGTAACTCTCACTAGTAATTAGACATTATGTCACTGTACATGACATCCAAAGGCAAAATTACACAGAACTACATCATTTAATAATCTCAAGTTAGCCAAAGGTTGGGTACACTTACCAGTAATTTTAAAGCTAGAATTTAGATAAAAAAAAAAAAAAAAAAAATCAGACATTAATGAATGTTAGAGAGGTTAATAAGGCCTTAACAAAGGCATATTTTAAAGGAATTTGTAAAATTAACTTGATATGGTCTTCCAGGAAGAATTGGAAGCTCTGGTAATAACAGGAAATACTTGGTATTTTATAATCAAACAAAAGCAATTTTGAACAGTTCTAGACCATGCACAAAGCGTAAGAATTAGTATACAAATATTCAACATTCAACTGATTTAAATTGTACCATTACATTAAAATAAGCTTGTAATTCTGAAAAGGAACAGGAGAGGTAGACTGGAGTTCTTCATCCTCTTCACATTACATGGAGAACATACTGCAAGAGGCTGGGATTATAGTGAAGGAATGCACCAGAAAACCAATGGTCTCTGAAAATTCAGCCCTGCTATTCCTAGCTAGTACAGTGTCCGTCAAACCAATATACAAAACAAAACAGGGATAGATTAAGTATTTGTGTGTGTGTAGCTAGCTGTGCAAAGCCAACCACAAATACACCTGGGGATCACAATGACATGTAACAGTTGATGAGCAGGTTGAGCTACAAGGGGAGGTATTCAATTGTAACTGCCACTGCTTTTTTAAGCAGCCATTAAGAACTACTTAAGTCTAAGTAACTGAATGGATCTTGGAGGAAATTTGCAATAGGCTGTTCCCTGAGGAGGAAAGGGGAAGGAACCACCTCATCTTATTCAATGTTAAATATTACTACATTGCTTATGGAATTAAAATTACATGTAGTTCACAATACTAGTACATCCTGTCTGTAACTGGCAGCTCATTTCAAGATGTGTCTTTAAAGTCTTAAAGTCATTCTTGAAGTTTTGCAAGGCATAAATAAACTAAATATTAACTGGTTAGAGTGATACGCAAGTAAATTTTCTTACCTCAAGCATTATGGGTTCACAAACTTCTTTTTTAAACTTGTCTTTGTTCTGTCTTAGCCACATAAGAGCAGAGTGTGTATCTTCAAATCTTGCCTTAAGATTGTCTTCCTTCATATTCATTATATTATTAAGTTGTTCAAGGCGGTCAGTTATTCCTGAATTTAAAGCAGTTTCTTAAACAGAGTGCACAGCAAGTCCACATTATAACTAGCATTTACCAATATTTATTGACTATGCTATTCCAGCAGTAAGATTGTTAGGAGATGATAAGAACTGAGTTTCCACAATCAAGATGCTGCCTATTCTGAAACTATTAAAGCTCAAAATGTAAAATAAAATTAAGACAATGTGGAAATACAATGGAAGACTTGTGAGGATTGTAAATATGCTCAAGTGACCTATAGCTGGGGTGTCAAAAACATATCATAGTAATTGTTCAGCTTTGTGTGTTTGACATCTAGAACAACTGTGTTTACGTAACACAGTCAGAGGCACCTTATAAAACTGCCTTGAGATTCCTGCCCTGCTACTGGAAAGATCAAAGCACAGTGGAAAACTATGTCTGAGAAAACCACTGATAAATACAGGCAAAAGCAGCAGGTTTGAGATACTTTTTCTTCTCTTTCTGGCTAGCAAGTACCTAGCTCCATGGTGCCTGTGTTCCTGCTTACATGCCTCTGTGCAGGTGCTGTTGCAGCGATCCCCTGGGTCATGAGGTAGTAAGCATAAATTTACTAATTTACTCTTCGCATCTCATCCATGGTTTTGTGGTTGCTCCTGCATCCTGCATCTGTCAACTCAGACACCTACTCAAAGGATAACAAAATGTGGTAGTGCAGTAAAGACACCGGAATTTAGTTCTAAATATATATTTTCGTAACTTCTACCTCTGCATTTAAAATCAAAAATGACCCAAGAGGAAAGAGGTAGTGGGACTAGCAACTCTGAGTGTTACTGCATGGTTGCAGAAAACAAACTGTGTGACTATATTGTATGCAAAAGCATTTTCTATTCAGGAGAAACAGAGATCAAATACTTTCTGTGCTTCTCAAGGTAAAATATATAGTGTCACCTTCCCTAGGTCACTTGGTCTCTCTATACCTCAGTTTCTTCTTGGATTCTATGACAAATTAAGACAGACAGGCACTTGCAAGTGTACTACACTCACTGAGGAACATATACAACACCTGCTACCTATGAAACTATAATTTTAGAATTTTGTTTATTTGAAAGAACTAATTGTAAATCCTGGGCTAGTGTAAAGGAACTTACTGTAATCAAGGTTAGGCTCAAGTTCATTTAGAAAGGACAAGAGCAGCCTCAGTAGCTAATATGTTGCCAAAGAAGTAATTTTAAACACTGCATCTTCAAAGCAAACTGCTTTTGCTTCAGGTTTGGTTTTTTTGTATTCTGCTAACAGTACATACCTTCATTTAATAACAGAAAAAAATTAAACTGGCAAAGCAGTCTCCTTACCCAGAGATAAGAGCAAAATAATTTTTTTGAACAATAGTTTTAGGGTCAATTGCCACTTTTGGATCTTGTTGTTCTATTTTGAAAGTGGCTTCTGTTACTTTTAATAAAACTGATAACAGATGACTGCTATACATGTAAGATACAACTATGAGGCTTGAGGTAAACATCTCAAATTATTTCACTACAGCAGGACAACAAATAGATTCTGTATGAGCAGTCATAAAAAGCCCAAATCAACAAACAAAACCACAAATAACTTACTTTGCTTTTCCCTCTCTTGGTTCATTTTCCCTGCTGTTAGGTCACTGATACCACTATGAATATTTGCCCTTTTGTCTTGTAATTTTTTCAGCTCATTATTAATAGCATCAGTTTGTGGCTGAAGATCCACAGAGACTGCCATTGCACTGAGCTCTTTCTTCCAGTCCTTTATAATCTCGTGAGTGTTGTGGATTTTCCTCTGTCTGTCCATTTCTTCATCTTTTTTCAATTTCAAAGCTTGATTAATTTCTTCAATCTGAAAATGTTGAGCATTTCTAACATTAAAGGAGTTTAGTATACAAAACCTATGACAAACAAGTAGGATATGTGTGCAACTGACATGAAATGCTAATGTTACCATTCACTGAAACTGTTAAAGAGTCTTGTCATTGTTCCAACAGACCTATGACTGTGGAAGAACTGACAAGATTTAGTTAAGATTTAGGAACATTTAAGCAAAAATACAATCAAGACTTTAAATCAAATTTTGAAGTTCCTTTATTTTTACAAAAGCTGAAGCTTAAAGCTCAAGATCTTCCTTAACACATCTGAAAGTTAGTCTAAGATTGAACAAAACCTATAGCACAACTGACTGCACCCTCATACATTTAATTTATACATTTCTTGACCAAGTGTTTAGATGAAATCCTGTAACTGTTCTACAACATCTCTTTGTATTTTCTTTTTAAAAAATGCTGAGCATACACATTTAACAGAAGTAATAACCCTAGCCTCTCACACAGAATATTTGAGTGCATGTTTAATGCTGAGTGCATTACTGTACCATATAGGCTGTAGCTTTTCAAGGAAAACCTGTAATATATAGTATATATACACACGCTGTTTATTCCTAAGTTTGTTGCATCAAGGTAACCATTTTATATAGGATGCACCTGTCCCTTAGTAATACCTGTCTGATTAATAACCGTTTTAAAGATTCACTGTGTACTGGAGAGTGGTGTACAATCACTTGCTGCCTCTTCAGAGGCTTCCCTCTCCACTAACAAAAGAGCAGACAAAAAAACCCTGTATCTGTGTTTTACTGCATAATTTAAGTAGCATTCCACCTGAATGCAGCATATGCTATAGATAGTACTGAACTAATACATCAGCAAAGAAACACCAAGTCATAAATAACAAGTTTCTTACTTGTTTATCTTTCATCTCCAAAGCATCTTGCTTCTGTTTACATTTTTGAGAAATGTCTTTGATTTCATCAGCCTGTGTACAGTAAGATATTTAAATTAGGTAGCCATAAACTCAGTTATATTTGTAAAAAGAAGTTGTATTTTCAAGAACATTCTGTATATGCATAACTAAACATTTATTCCGCATTTTATTACTTAAAAAGTTGTACTTGACAGTTTCTTATTATTCTTTCTTGTATCTGTAACATGTAAGAACCAAATAATGACATATAAACTATTCACAACCCTTCAGCTACAGATCTGCAAATTCAGGCATGACAGATAGGGAAAGTCTCCTAATCTAATCTGAAATTAATATAACTCCACCCCTTGATTTCAATAAAAATGTTACATTGAGATGCCTGCACTTCTGCAACGTTCTTGACTCTTTTTCCAAACCAATTTTACCACAAGGAAAGCTTATATTTAACACTCAGAAGGGCATAAGTTTCTAGGCACAGGGCAGCCAAAACAGAATTTGTCAACGCCATCCCACCTCTGAAGTGCACTGTGCCCAAGCTATATCCTACACAGCTGAGCCTGACAACTTGTTGGCCCATGTATAGGAACACCCTTGCCTCTACTATTTCTCTATCCTTCTCAGCTTCTATAGAGTTGTATAATAATGTAAATCACAAGGGACTTCTGGGCATTGCCCAGTCCAATCCTTGTTCAAAGATCTTACTAGGTCAGGTTGCCCAGGCACTTGTACAGCTGAATCCTGAACACAATGGAAGCATACTATGTTTCTCTACAAACTTAATTCCTTCTTCTCTGAACCCTTAAGACTGAGAAGAGTGCAAGCAGAATACTGGAACACTGCAAAAGGATGGAAAGACTGTAAGTAAATTCCAGAGCAAGCACAGAAACAAACACAACAGTCTTGCTGGAAGAAACGTCTTTTTACAAACCAAGTCACACTGAAAGTGCTAAAATGCATCAAGAACTGAGAAAATAAAACTATACAGAATCTCTTCTCTCTCACAACCTGAAATATGCACAGAAGATTAAGAACCTGACTCCACAGCTGATTGCACAGCTGATTGACGGCAACATGGAACAATATATCTTGATCTTAAAGCTGACTGCTATGCATTACTGATTCTGTGATGCACTCTCCAAAGACCTCTGGCAGGCACTCTGAGGAGGAAGTTCTCTCCCAGGAAACTAATGCAAAATATTGACAAAACAATTCTGAAAGTTCTCAAAATCAGGACACTAGTAGAGAACTGGAATTACATTTTGCAATTATTATTATACTTTCAGTTAACATATATTTATATATACACCTCTCTTACAGAGCAGATTAACAACTGTAATTGTCTTTATGGCTTTCATAAATTTCCACACATACACAACCACAACACACCACATTATACTGTCAAATATTGCTAAAAAATTGCACTGAATGGTCCACTCTGTTCAAATGCCTCTGAAGACACTAACAGAAAAAAATCTAGGCTTCTCTCTCACAATTTTATCAACCTCTTCCTACAAAATGGACTGATTTCTTTCTCTCAGAATCTACACTTCCTACACACCCAAAGAACAAAATTTTACTAGGAATTCTTAGTATAGGCAAATTCTTAAAAGTGTATTAACAGACACAAGAGAAAATATTCATGCAGTGTCTTGATGCATTAATTTCTTCCCAAATTTAGCTCCTCCTTTATTTTCAATCCTTCCACACAGAACCTGTAGCACCATGCCTGGCTTTTTGCCAACAAAGTGCAAACAAAATACAATGAGGAGGCGATTGTCTCTGCTCTCAAGATAATCCTCAAACCAAGAGCAAGATCTCAAGTAGCAGTCAGGATTACAGTTATTTGATAACAGATATAAGTATGGACCAAAGGGCCTGAGGACAACTATGTTCACTATAGGTCAATGTCCCTGAAATGGAGAGAATTTAAAATGCTGAACTGCCTTCCCCTAATGCCAAACGGAAATTTAGCTTGGAAAAAACCCACACTTTTGGGCCAAAAATAGTTACACTTCCTTTTTAATAAAATCGTTCATTAATCAATTCCTGATGGCTTACAGCATAATTACCTGTGAAATGCCCACCAAATGCTTGCCTCTACAAAGATAAAATTGTTACAATAAATTCAAGCAGTATCTACAAAAAAGTGAAGAACTAATGAAGAAAGAGCAATTTAAGTAATTTTAAGGTAAGGTACTTGAAAGCATTGAGGTTTTTGCCTTAAGTCAAAACTATCTCCTGACAGTGCAAGCAGCACTGATTCTCCTTTAAAAGAACTTCATTTTCACAGCCCAGCTAAGAAGGTATATGGGAGAGAAACTAATTTCAGTACTCAAAAAAGAGCTACTTTCACAAAAGTTCAAAAAGTAGCAATACACCTCTAACATCTTGTTAACTTGCCTGATGTCATAAAAATTGTTCATGTCATAACCAGGTATATAATATATTCCCTTAAGCCTTTTTCCGTCATAATGGACTCTATGGGGGCATCTTCAAGATTTAATACTCATTCAAATTAGACTCAGATATAAAATTTAACATCAGAACAAAACTCAGCTTTGGAAATGTCATCTTATAATATTACATACAACAAAGTATCACCTATACATTATAATAAAAATAATGGCAAATAATCACTGGAAAGCAATATTAGAATATCTCAGTCAGTCTTCTGTAAACTATTTATTTCAAAAGTAGCATCTTTCCTTCTTCCCACCTTTTTGCCTTTTGGAGTACTGCAGAACAAAATGCACCCAATTCACTCTCTGAGCTCAAATTAAACATCACTTTGGCATATAATTAGCCTTGTGAACATTTAGAATGTAAAAGCCTTACTCCACAAGTTTAGCTTGAGCAGATAAATATGTTCATTTAAGAGTATACGTCAATCAGCTATTACCTTCCCCCAATTCTTCTTTCACAGCTCTGTAGTAAATAGCCTATGCTGAGCATGCTCCCAGCAAGTTAAAACTAAAATGCTCACTATTTTGTCCTAGGTTCTCATAAAGAGTATAACTCATATCAACAGAGGATAACTTTTATATGAATATAGTCCAATATATCTAAGAATCGTGGTAGCAGTGGTTCAGTAGAATTCTTTCTTGTTTGAAAAAATATTTTAGTGTAACATTAATTAAAATGAAAGATGAGTGAAAACTAACAGGATAATACCAAGCAGTAAAAACAAAGCTTAGCACTTCAGAAGCATGAAGGCCCTTACTGCAATATGAAGATTAATTTCAAGCTTCCAGCTGTTAACTTTCCTCTAAAGTAGTACACTTACTCTTTAATAACAACAAAACCCCATATAATAAACAAAACTCCAACCACGTACAAAAAAGTCCCCTTCAATAAAACTGCAACATTTTTAAACATTTAAGTATTTTGAATCACAGTATAATAAACTTGCAGTACAGTGGAGCACAAACTACAAAGCATACATTTAGCAAAGAGCTTTCTCATTACTACTACTGCTACTAATGTACTTGGGTAAGTAGTATTGCCTGGTACAGTCTACATCACAACACAACCAGACATTGTGTGAACAACAATCTATGGGTTTTTTTTTATCTGGTCTTTCTGGTTTGTTTTAGGATTTGGTACTTTGGTTTTGTTGGTAGTTTTTTGGTGGGAGAGTGTGTTTTCTTGGTTTCTCTAAAGAAAGCGCATGAACAATGTATTAGCTCACAGTGCTTTAAATGCCACTGAAGTTTCAGACCCTGATTCTACAAGATACTTCATGACAGCAGGCCTCCACATGTCTCCACACAAAGTCCTTTCATCTGTTCAGTTGCCTTCAAACAGAACTACACTGCAGAAAATAGTCTCATGTTATCATTTAATTTTGGTTATCCATTAAAATCTGTGCAGCCTATGCATACAGTACTATTCTGCAGCCTGAATAGTATATGATAGTTAAAATCCTGCAGAGAATTATTTTCCTGTTTTTCATAAGAAACAGTAATTTTCAATATCCCCAGAGAGAGCAGCTACTCAAAAACCAGTAAACTGTACAGTAAACTGTAAGACTTAGGTAGCTTTACCATTAAATTCTCTTATGCATAAAAGTAACCACAACTGATGGACGATAACAAAAAATTATATCCTACTTATGGAATTAGGTTAAATATCAGAGGAATGCTTTCAGGCCAGAAAAGTTGTAATTTAGCTTAAATTAACACCCAAACTGGCTACGTTTTAAGAAGATAAACAGAGCATCCACAAATCCAAACTACAGAACAGATGAAAACAGGCAACTAATTCAATAGAAGTATCTAATTTAGGGATACTGTAACATTATATCCAAGATTTTGAAGGTTCCATGAAGAGAATTACAAATTTGCATGGTCTTATAATACCAAGAGTGTAGACTTTCAGAAGTGGTACTGAAGTTTTACTGAGAAACGTATTTCTTGAGTTTTACTGCTTAATGAAAACAGACATGAGAAGGCAGAGCACCAAGGCCATGAGTATTTCAGAAATTTTCTTCTGAAACACATCATTATGTCACTCTAGAAAGAAAGAGGTTATTGCTTTACACTTTACAAAGCTTAACACCGAACACCTGACATATTACATAAGCTGAGAACTTAAAATACCTACCTTATGTTTGATTTTCATATTCAGACTCTTAAAATATTCTTCAGTTTCTTGGATTTTTTTTGTCATTGGGGACTGCATTCCTTTCAGATTCTTCAGTTCTTCCTTGGCTTGGTCTCTTCTTTTTTTCACTTCCTCATGCTGCTGACGAACAGTTTCGTATTCCTTGGAGGGGTTGAAAGTAAAATAATTAGACTTTTGTCTTCTATTCCAGTATTCTACACTGCTCCAACATTTTATTTAATTGTAAATGAGTTTTAGGAAGAAAAATCTTACTCAGAAGCTAGTATTAGAACAATTACTTAAGTAATCATCCTGTTACTAGTCACCATGTCTAGTAGATGTAGGGACCATTCATTCCCCAGTAAACAAACCCACACATTTAATGGTTCTTAAATAATATGCAATTCAAGTAACAGAAGAAATGACCAATTTCTCTGCAATTAACTTGCCTGCAATGAACTTGCCTCTAAGTCAATCTGGGATCAGTGTAGAAAAAGTAATTCTTTAGCCCCTTCTGTCCATAGTTTGAGCACTACTTAGGCACAAGTCCTCAAGCTAAAGAGCTAATAACTACAGAAAACTTCAGGAGAAAGAAAAGGAAGGAGCTGGACAGATCTGAGCCAGTAATAGACATAGTTCACTGGAAGTGAAGCAGTGAGAGAGAACAGAACTTTTCAAAATAAACAAAACCACCATACACCACATATCTAGGGAGTTTAACTGGAGATGCATTCCTGAGAAGAAATAGGTGGTAAGCACTGTGGTGACCAAGAACCTTCTCTTCAAGAAGGTGGGAATTTTGGGGAGAAAGTAGTTTAGGCTAAAGGAGTCATTACTAGTGAATTTTTTTTGTTACACTCTCTGGAGAAAAAAAAAACAAAAAAGCCCCAAAACACCAAAACAAAACCCAACCAAAATCCACCCAGAACAAACAAACCAACCAACACCAAACAACAACAACAACAACAAAAAAAGATGATGTTCAATGATCTTTAAGGGTTCAGCAGCAAAAATAGAGGGCCAGAGGGAGGAAGAGTAGATACATGTACATGGAAGCGTAGAGGAAAGGAAAGCCATTGGATTTGGCAGGCACTAAGGAAAGCCCCTGGTTTAGAGCATATGCCTGGATTACTCTAATTTTTGGAGCATTAAAAAAAATAAAGATAGCCTGCAAGATCTATCTGTAACAGCTAACTATACCACTTTTTCCTAGTTAGTTATTTAATTACTTCACTCATAAACACACACAATCACAAATAAATCAACTTAGGCTACTAAATCCAGATTATTTCTTCACGGTATCTTCCTCATAAAGCCAAAAGGTATTTGAAGAAACCTGCTGTAATTCCATGTGAAGTACTATCAGTAGCCACCATTACAAAGTTAGAGAGGTAAATACTTCTACTTAGCTGATAGAATAAGCTTAAAATTTAGCTCTGCTCTAAATAAGGTATTGTATTTCAAGGTTAAAGCAAACACACAAACATATTAATTACAACTTCTTCAGATACAAAGTAGAGTCAAGTTTTCCTAGAAATTGTCATGACATGGTTTTTATACAGCAAATCCCTTTAACACTTTAAGAAAACCTGTCCTTCACTAGAACTCTATTTTGGTAACCTTTAAACAAATAACCTTGATGCCTGTAATTATGCACCTAGCTAAAGATCTGCAGAACTTCCAAAAGGACTGCAGTCCTTCTAAAAGGCATTTGCACCTAAACTACATAATAGAGCTTTTCTAGACTGTGACTGGAAGAAGGGGAAGAGAACAATGGACTTGGTTTGGTCAAAACACAATTTCAGAATTATGTGTTTTCATGGCATTTATAGCAGGAGAACAGCACCTTCTGCTGATATACTACCTTAAAACAGTATACTTTATGGTATACCATACTACCTTAAGCTTGGAGGGGTTAGAAACTTCTGTTCTTTAAGACACTACCAAAAAAAACCCAAAAAACCCAACAGCTATCCATGTCAAAAAAAACCCTGTAGCTCCTTAAATGTGCTCACTGACTGTAGATGACAACAAACTCATGGAAGTTCCATTAAGTTACACACAAGAACATAAAATGTCCCCTAAATCCCTGAGTTCAATTCTTTAAGGCTGTACTCCTAGGGTCCATTCTATGGAATTTAAAGCAGATGCTCAAAAGCCTATTAAGATATAGTCACATATAAAAATGGTGTAGAATTCTCCACATACAGAAGTGGCTGGCACTAACTAGAAAAAACACTTGACTACAAAAGTGTTTCTCAGGTGAAGAGCAGTGGAGTTTTCAGAATAAAAATGCAGTTCTACAGTGGTCAAACAGTAAAACAAGTTCATCACTAAACTTCCTCTTTTCCACTAGGATCAAGAGACAATCTAACATCTTATTTCAACTGATCTGTTTTCATCAATGTCTTCTCCATTACATAACATACTCAGTGTTCATACATCTGCCTCCTGACTGATTTGGAGGGTCTTCTAGTTATATTGTTTTGTTACAAAGGCAATTCTAAACAGCTGGTATGTTTGGTCTACAAGTAGAAGCCTACCTTTTGGGGATGGTGGGAGAGAGGGAGATCCACAGAAGGAAGAATAAACTCCTGTACTACTCTCAACTTTGGTGAGCCCAATTTTAAGATATCAAAAACATTTATTCTTAGGAATAATAGTGCTAGGTCAGATGACAAAGAAATATGACCTTGTAAGAGAATGTGTTTCTTCTTTTAGAGAGAGCTTGATGTTGCAATATAGAATACCAAGAGGTCTATCAGAAGGATTTGACAAAGCACAAAATAGCAACAATCTTGTACAGTGAAGATAACAATGTAATGTGAATGGAATTTTGTTGAAGCCTACAGGTCAAATACCTTCTACCTAGTAAAACAATTACGTTGATGACCCTTAGTTTCAACTGTAGACTCTGTTTAACAATCTGGTACACACTACTGATTCTGTACCACAAATCTTCACTGAAACACACTGTTGTTTCTATGGATTCAGTGGACAAAAAATTATATTTCTCTCAAGTGAGAAAGCATTTAACAGTTTCAGCAACACAATTTAAATACTCTCACCAAGAGTATATAATAGTCTCAGCAACATGAACTGTCTGAAAGACAGCAGTGAAAGAGTAAGGTGTGACAAAGTCTGTTTAAATTTGCTTAAGAAACATGCAACTAACAGAGATGTTCTCAAAATTATGGAGGACAATTTAACTGAGAGCAGGTAGGATTCTTAGGTTGCTCTCCTGCTAGCTTTCAGTGTTCTGTATCTACAAGTATCTTACAGTAGAGAACAATCTGTATCAGTCTAGATTATGCAAGACCTTCATCTCTCCTAATAAAATAACTAACTCTTCTTTTGAACTAAGCCAAGGTAATGCATATGTAGCAGGAAAAAAATGCATCATTCAGCAAGTACAGTAAGGGCACAGAGCATACAGCTCTCCTTCACACCAATCACCATCCATTTCAACTGCTGCTCCCATATCTCTCTGTGCTGTTAGCACAGAGGTGTGAAAGCAGTGAAGGTACATCCCCTGAATCCAGTTGCTCTTCAAGATATGAGGGACAAAAGTGTGAGGCTTTGTTATCTGTAAAACTGCAACAAAATCTTACAGAAGTTTTCTGCATCCTCCACAAATATTACATGTAACTTTTCATAAGTTCTGTATCTCTATTTCATGAATTCTATAAAGCTTGAGAACAAAGCAAGCAACATAGTGCGTCAATAAAATCCATGTCAGTTTAAACAGTTTATAATAATCTGACTGACATTCAATATTGAAATAAACTACAAAGTGCTGTTCAGAAAGACTTACTTGGCTTTATATAAATGACCTGTCCTTGATTCTAGCTCTTTTAAATTTAAAAATTTCTTTCTCCCAAATGCCAACATTTTTGAGATTGGCAACATGAATTCACCATGATTCATGTCATACACACAGCAAACCTCAATTAATAAATTAAAATGAGCAAAGGGAAAAGACAATCTGTAAAAACAACCCAAAAACTAAACAACAAAAAGAAAACAAGAAACCAAACCCATGTTCTGTTAAAAGTTACAGCTGGAAGAAGCAAGTGGAACTGGCTAGACACAGTTTAAATTAAGCTAGTTGTGTCTGGAAGGAAGAAAAGGAGCACTGCTCTTGGCCCATACTGAGGGCTTTCCTAAACGGGCAGTAACTTTAAGTTACTGCCTAAGCAACTTCTTCAGTCCAGCTACATATGGAAGCAAACCTCTGATTAAAGTTAGGCCAAGAACAGTATTTCAAGACTTGGCCTGTTTGTACGAAGCAGCTATAATGATGTTCAAGATATTCTGGTCAAACTTCTTTTAAAGAAACTTTGGGCATATTTCTAGTACTACGGTATTAGGAGAAATACTGTAAGTAAGAAAAACACTGAAAAAATAAAAACTTACCACCCAAGGCCTTTTCCTCTCAAGCATCTCAATTAAGTCTAGATGGCGTTTGTGCTCATGGAATTTCTCAATGTCTTGTTTGTAACGTTCAGTTCTCTGTATCATTTTCTCCAAAGACTGAGTTTTGTCTCTGCACAAGTTCTGTAAGAATATACATGTTCATGTTTTACAGTATCTAATTTGTGAAAACACTTTTCAGAAATAATCCACACCTCACCTGTACATTAAAGCAGAAATTTAACACTAGAGAGGACATTTTAGTACAGCTGTAATTAGAGGTGAATAACCCAACTAGAAATAGCTCTCCAGCTCTTTCAAGTTTATCACATACTTTCTGTGAAAACAAATCTAATTTTAACTTTAAAGATATCTTAATCTGAAAAAAAGTGTTTTAACTTTTTTTTTTTTACATTTTCTCAGGAATTTACTCCCTACAGCTCAAGCCTCCATTAATCTAGACATTTCTAAATCACCACAACTAGTTTTGATAAATACAAGTAGCAAAAATGCTTGTGAAAAATCTTGAAGAGATTTGTATCAGAAACATCAAGGTTGTATTTGAATGTAGTACGTATGAGCGGAAATGCATGTGTGCACACAAACACAAGAAGAAACAGCACAACAAAGGATTACAGAAATGGCCTGTATGGCCAATGACAGACACTGTTCACAAGATATCATTCTCAGCAGTAACAGCAAGGATTATTTCTGCAAAGATTACTACGCCTGCACTATGGTAAGATCACAGCACAAGTAACTGTCAGGGAAAGACCCAGCATCCTAAAACCAGGACAGCAACAAGGTTGAAGCTTACTGCATACACTCTCCCTTTCCTCTTTGTCTGTTAGTGTTCCAAACCAGGAAAAGCAGGTAGCAGCAATCTTGTCCATAAGTTACAGAAGTTGAAGTCAGCAAGATTAAAGCAAAGAACCACTGTATAACAGCTGATGACTCCTAAAAGGTGTAAAAGATCTGTCCAGAAAAGTTGTTGCCAGTCAAGAATCTCAGAGAAGTGATAATTACTTGACAACAGGCATCCCCTTGTCCTCTGTCCAGACCACTTTCCCACATGTGTCTGCATGCTTATGAAATGTGATTGTTGGAGTGAATGACTTCTGAGAAAAGATGAGCATGATTTGGTAAAATGAACTTAGTGTAGACTTTCCAAGTAAATACTACCTTTTAAATCTGTAAGATCTTACATTAAATTTTATTACGCTAATTTTCCTATAGTCACTGCTCTCTGTCTCTATAATGTGCATATTTACCTCCAGTTCTTTTTCCTTTTCTCTGAAGTTTTTCAGTTGACAGTGAAATTGGTACATTTCTGGAGGACCGATGGATTTTTCAGTGGCTTCAAGCAATTCAATCTTACTCAGTCTTGCAAATTCTCCAACTTTGTCCTACAAAATAAAAAAAGTTACAAAAATGCAGTATTAGGTATAACAGTGCAGTACACCAATACTGGATTTGAATACCACAAATTAGTTCTCAGGAACATCACCTGACTTATAGTCCTATGATGAACAGCTACACTTCAGTTAAGCATAGGATGCCCATCTCAAAGTAGCAACCAAACCCTCCTACATATGTGTAGGATTTCATACATGGTATTATTGGAGCTGTTCTGGAATGATTTAAACTTAAACCTTAGCTGTTCTTGGTTGTTTGACAGCTTTTGAGGGCAGCTGTGGAGGATATGGCTTGGTCCATTATTTTTGAATTGGCTATCACTCTTCTGAACAAGACATTTTAGCACAGACTATTAAAGGTTTAATTCCACCGTATTCTTGATATCGCTTCTCAGGTTGCTGAGGCTACACCTTCCCAGTATAAATGTTATGATGTCTTGGTTCTGGCTGAGATAGAGTTAATTTAACTTCTTCCAGCGAGAATAGTGCTGGTTTGGATTCACTATGGGATTTGGTATGAGAAGAATGCTGATAATAAAGTGATGTTTACAGCTGTTGCTAATAGATCAAGGTCTCTAACTCCCCATGTCCTGCCCATGTGCGTGTGTACAAAAAGCTGTGAGGGGGCACAGTCAGAGCTCTGGACCCAAATTAGCCAGTGGAGTATTCTGTACCATACACTACTACACTCAGTATATAAAGCAGGGATGGCCAGGAAGGAGGGGGGTTATTTCTCACTTCCAGGATTGCAACTGTAGGATCTTGGGGCTTTTTTCATGATTGCTAGCTGGGAACTAGCTGGGTATCAGTTGGTGGGTGGTGAGCAATCGCACTGACCATTACTCATTTGTAATTTCTATTATTGTTGTTGTTTTATTTTATTACGATTACTAAACTGTTTTTTTATCTCAACCTATGAGTCTCCCTTTATTGCTCCAATCTCTTCCCCACCCTCTGGGAAGGGGGAGGGTGAGCGAGAGGCTGTGTGGTGTATGGGGCCAAGTTCAAACCACAACTCAAACGTTAAGCCACATAGAAGTTAATATCAAGGCTGACAGTCAAGGGTATTGGGAAGTATTGTTGTTGTCCAAGACAGAACAGCAGCTCAAAACCAAGACTGGAGTGAAAGGTGTGCTTGCCATTGCTACAGTGGCAGAGCACAAATAAACCAAAACTTTCAACACAGTAGCATTCACTGAACTGACACATATGTACTAAAGAGAGCTGTTTTAAATACAAAAGTTATGTTGGCAGAATATGCAGAAAGTTCTACTCCAAACAAATATTATGAATATGTAAACAAACCCCAAACCCAGACTATTTGTTTCTAAAGTATTAGCTTTCTAAATTTGTGGTTTTCAGCATGTCTTCTTCTCCTTGAATAGAACAATAAACCCACGGTTGCTTACACTCTGATAAGGTTTCCTTTTACCATGAACTGGGAAGGTCTTGGGAAGGAATCTGCCATAACTTTTTTTAAGATGCAATTATGAGGCAACTTAGTTATTTGCACAGAAATACTGACATGCTTGACCATGGATTAAGACATGGAAACTGCTTGCAGTATTCTTTAATTGCCTCTCTCCTTTAGGAGCTATTTTCCATCAGGATGATTTTACTCTTACATAATTTGACCCTGAGTATCTTTAAGTTCTATGCTATACTCAAGAAACTGCTGAGCCACAGATGTTACCAAAAAGGCTCTAGCAGCAGCCTCTGTTGTAACTGTAGAATCATTTAGTAGGACTGCTTTCTGGTTTTTGGAGAAAGAAATCCAGACAACTCTTCCCCTTCACTTACCAAGTACAGGATCCAATCCTTAGGAACTGACTGGATATAAACAGAGGAAAGTGCATGCAGGAAAGTCAGGGATGAAGAACTACAGGAACCATGCAGGTAAAGGTACAGAAGCAGTGCTAGACCTCAAGACCTTATAAAAATTTCCCTACAGATCTGTTGTTTAAGAACATCCCTACAGCAGCACAGACAGGACAGAGATACCATTGCTAGTGCTGCTACTCAAAGAGCAACATGGGGAACATCAGCAGCTTTCCTTTCAGTACCCAACTGAAGCAGGTATAAAACTGTCCAATTAATGAGCCTTAAAGGTCACAGAGTTCCTCCTTTCTTTCACCAACACATTAGTATAGCTACCTCAACCCTCTCATTCTTTGTGCTGTCCCATTAAATCACTGAAGTGCTACAAAAGTTAATAAGCAACAAAACCCTCTCAAAACAAAGAACTCCATTTGCAACCACTGTCTTTCCAAATTCGTTCATACCTGAGGAAGAAACTGGCACAAATTGTCCACCTGGATATTTAAGGCTGCAATCTGCTCTTCTACTGCTTTCAGGGTTGCTGACTTTCTGTCAATAAACCATGTTGATGTGTTGTTCACTGCCTGAATCTCACGTGTGATAATGATATTGTCAGGCACCTTATACCTGATCAATAAGAAGAAACATTTTGAGAATATGCAAAGGTTACCAAGTGTCAAATTATGTTAGAGTTATGGTATTAAAAATTTTAAATATATAAATATTTACTATAAATTAACAATAGCAGCAGATTCACATTTCATGCTTTAGAAAATGTCCAGTACTCCAGTGATGAATTAATCTTACAAAGAAAACATCAATATCTGCAAATCTTAACCCATAGGAAGTTACTCATAAAAATGACATACTCATGCTGAATGTATGAACCACTTAAAAGCTGTTACAGATGTGAATAATTTATATAAAAGTGTATTTTTGTTAATGACATAGTAAATTTTAAAACTGGTATGCAGGACATGCACGCTAACACTATGTCTTTAAAGTAAAAAATATTAGTGTACAGAACTACATCAACAAGCTGTATATATACATTCCATTTGGGAATAAAAGTAGTATCATGCAGTATAAAAAAAAAATACTAATTTGTTTTCATTTTTTTTCTTTTAAAGAACAGCAAAGATGCATCAGTTGTCCACTTAGTTCTCTAGCTTAACACTTATCTTCAAAAATTTCGTCTGGTTAAGATGCATCAGTAACAAATGAGCAAGGAGATAGTCATAAACTCTTGAAATTCTGGTTGCCATTTTGATTTAGAAATTGTCTACTGCCTGTTCGGTCAGCATATAGTTAAAGATGGTGTATAAGGGCTCATAACAGTTTGGAAGCTGTGTACCTTATGAGATCAAAGTAGAAATACGTAATTCAACAGTTTCCAGTGTTTGGGTAAGTGTCCTAACAATATAAGCCTACTTTTTAAAGACTGTACAATTATCTCCTCACAAGTATCCACTACATTATTTTAATATACCAGTCTTCCTTCAAAAGGCCTACAATGCCACTGTCTATTCTTTTATCAGATTAAGAATTTCATACAACTATAGCTCTTGATTTTAGTTACAATCCAAGGGCCAGATTCAACCAAGACAGTATAGATTTATGGAACTCAAATTTTAAAATTCCTGTCAAAAAGCAATGTCCTACATCATTGCTCTCTTACCCTAGATGCTGCATTTACATATCTCCTACCAATTAGATAAAGGTCTGAATTACATTGCAACCACTAGAGTACAAATGCTAAGTCTTCATATACTCCAAGTCACTCTTCAGACTTCCAAGCAACATCAGGATGTATCTATGTTGAAAAAATGACATCACCTACCTGAAAGACATCCTACTTCCTTATGTATTGCTTAGCCAGTCTCCAAAGTATGTCTTACTTTGATCACTCCCACAAGAACAAAAGCGAACAGGGTTTTTTCAAAGATCTGTTCCAGTATATCATTTTTCCTTAACACAATTTTATTTTTATAGAATCTGATCTACATGGCCAATCATTATACAGATTAACTCAGTCTCTGAATCAGATGATTAGCAAAATGTTCTATTTAGTTCAGGCAAACAGATCAGGTTAAGGCTTATCAAAACCACCTGTGCTGTTGCAGCTTCATTTTAAAATCTCCCTCAAAAAACACCCATTTATGAATTCTATTAGGAATTCAGTCTCTCTTTAGTTGTCAGAAAAAAATCCAAACCCTAACAACTTACAAGAAGCATGTAATATTGCCCTGTAACCACAAGTTAGTGATGGAATTCTCCTTATTGTCCAAATGATTTTCAGTTGTTCTGTTTAGCAAAAGCTTACCTAAAAGACTGCATTAGCTAGAATTAGTCAGATCTACCTTTTTAAAAATAATTTTATTTCAGTATGTGATGTTTTCAGTAAGAATATAGAGGAACCACTCATACCATATACATCAATCTTCATCTATATATTCTTTGCACATCAAGACAAGGTAAAATGCTTCAGAAAGCAACATCAAGACCAGCCATCACTGTTTATTTCTTGCATGGCAATTAATTTAATTTTAGAATTTTGAAGTCTGGGTAAAAAAATAAAATCACCAGCTTAAAGACAGACAGCTGTATACCTGATTTTTTTCCACAACTTTGTTAATAACTGTTTGGGGAAATAATCTAATTAAAAACGCATGAAGATTTATAGTTTTACTACTTACAGTTCAACTTCGACTACACCTTTCAAGCAGCCCTGCTTTACAAAGAGACCAACCTACAAAATTAATTATAGAAGTCATTATTGCAAAATAGCAGTGTATTAAAATATAATCTCTTACAAAAATATGTATTTGTATAATAGAGTTGCTGTAACAGGATATTTTATTGAAAACTTACAATTAAAACCTAAAATTTATTTTGGCTGAATATTAACCAAAAATAAAGGAAGATGCTATTATCTTCCTTATCAACTAGCAACATTAGAACTTCCTCCACAGGTTAAGAATTTCCCATCAATCCAACCTCCAAAACTGAACAAATGATAATCAGCAGATCCACAGAGAGGAAAACAGTCACATGAATTTGGGGAACAAAAGCAATGCAAATGGAAGACACTGCCAAGTATCTGTACTCATAGAACTGACAATTCTAGTAATATAAAAATATATAAACATGTAAAGCCAATAAAAATACACAGTGCTGCCATGCAGTCAATTTCTATACTTTTATTTGCTCAAGACTGAGCTGCAATCAGAGAATATACACAATCATTTAGGTACCCAGAAACAATGCTCCGAAGATCTACTGAAATATATTCCATTCAACCAGAATATCCCAAGTAAGCAACTTAAAAATTTGACAGAACAAACTTCCTACTATATAAATTTCAATACATGATCTCTTGGGAGCAAAAAGTTAAAATAATAAAGCAACCCAACTTCCATTTAAATCAAAGACCAGTGCCTTCAGACTTTTAGATAAATTCTCAGATACATTATGGACATGTTACTTCTACAGAGTCAATATACCTGGAAATCTAAGTCAGACCTCTTTTTAATTTCTCCTTTAGCTGGTATTTCTGATCAAATGTTATTTATGCATGAGGTATCATTTTCCTACCTTACTGTTGAGGCTTAGCCATCTTCACATATAACCTCTACTCTACTCAGGTTCCAGTACAATTCAGATGTTTCCATTTCATAATTCAGCCAAGGCAACAAGTAAAGTAAAGTAAAGTAAAAACCCTTTTCGTAAAGGCCTGTATCTCTGGATGAGGTTATTCTACAATTTGGACACCTTTTTATAAAAATAAAGCAAATCAAGGAAGACAGTATTTTCCCCACCCCTCTGCTAGACAGGGCTCATAATGAAATTCAGATTAAAAATGAAAGTTACATAAATTCATAGCTACCTTATCAGCTCGCCCTATGAAAGAGGGTTTTCCAGCCAGTCCCAGGCAGATGGCACAAACAATGCTTGACTTTCCTGTTCCATTAGCACCTATAATCATGTTCAGATTGGGTCCTGGACGTACTTCACAGACATCGTATGTTCTGGAAAGTAAATAATTTTTAAATTTTATAAACATTGTATCACCTTAATAAAAAAAAGTACTTGCTTACAAACACATTATATTAAATACGACAGATAATTTAATCAAATCTAGACTCAATCCTCAAACACTCTTTTGTAAGAAAATCTCAGCATGAAAAAACTACAATAAACCACTGTGGAATACATTCCTGTCAAACAACTTTCTTCAAAAGAAATTATAATAAATAATGAAATCCAGTCACCAAATGACAATTTCTATTGACTATACTAGGACATCATATTATTTTACATATTAAGAAAAAAATCCCAACAAAACAGAAAGAAAATTGAGTGAATTCAGTCGAGTCTGTTATATTTAATTGCAGGTGCCTGATGCACCACTGGCACAGATTTCACTTGTCTAACCAGTACAATGTACTTGGGTCTTAAACTCTGAAAGAAGTCTGTGGAGCTCATCACACACTAGTTTTCTTCAGTTACAAGAACATAAAGCATTAGCCTGTTATCAGTGATTTTTTTTTTTAATTGTATTATAGATCTTTTGCCGTGTGCATCCAGCATGCCCATGGCAATAGCAACTACAGGAAGAGATCAAGCCCTAGCATGCAAACTGAAGACAAACCATTAATGTTGATATGATTAGTAACATGCCACATTTATTACGAACTCCACCACTGGATATTCTGTTCCCATACTGTACGAAACACACAGACAGGAACTGAGACACTAACACCAGAGAAGAAACAGACAGCAGTTAGTGACAAAACAACATAATCCATGTACCTCTGGAAGAGACTGTATTTGAACCCTCAATTCTGAGGCTAAAACTGCTACATCTGAAGCTTCACTGGTCATCTCTATCGTGAACTATGCTACTCTGAACTTTTTCAAGGCTGACACGGAGCTATGAGCATACCAGTCATAAGAAAATGGACTGAAAACTTCTACTAGTAACTACAATAGCTCCAAACTGAGCAGTATTCCTAATACAGAGACTAGAAAAAGCACATACAAAAGATAACACCAAAGATACTTTTTCCTAATGGTTTCCAAAGCCTGTCCCCGCTGCTCTATGAACATCCTCTACACTCTCCCCTCCTCCAGTGCTTGACAATCACCTAACTGTTTGAAAAAATGCGTGCAGAGGCTGACACGGACAACAGGAACCACCACCTTAGAGGAAGGAGGGCCGACACGACCACCGGCTGGGGAACGGACGCCCACGGAAGCGGCACTGCACTAGGAAACTACGGCACCCGTAACCCAAACAGCACGCCTTCTCCTCGCTCTAATCGCCTTCCAGGGGAGAAAAACCGTTTCACGCACTCCCTCTTCCAGCCCGACTCGCCTCGGTACCCAAGGCTTTATTAAGGCCCGTTGTCAACCGAGGGTGACACCCCCGCTCTGTGCAGCACGACGGAGCACGGCCCGGCCCTCGCCAGCCCACTGTTCCAGATTTGGTCCTCTGGACTTAACCACGCCGCTCTAAAATGGAGCTGGGTGCGGGACGCGCGGGAAGCCGAGGCCGCCCAAGCCAGCCACCGACCTCTGAAACGGTAGGGAGTCCGCACGCCAGCCCGCGGGCAATGGCGACAGCTCAGCCGCCACCACCTGGAAGGAGAAAGCACCCACCGCTCACTCACAGAAAGTTCTCCATGTAGATCCTGACGATGGAGCCCTCTACGAAGGAGGGGCACACCTTCGAGCTCCTCACAGGCCGCTTGCTGCTGCCCCCACACTTCCTCGGCAGCACCCCCGCCATCTTCCCCGCGCAGCCCGCTCTCAGCCCCGCTGAGAACGCCTCGCGCTCATTGACGGGCGAGAAACGGCGGGCAGATGAGGAGCGCGCTCATTGGCTAGGGGGCGGGACTAAGGCGCGGCGTAACTGTCCCCAGACTCGCATCAGGGCTCGGGCTGGAAGGGCCCCTGGGGGGCCGTGCCTTGCCGCGCCGGTGCCCGTTGTCCGGAGGAGGGCGGGGCGGTAAAGGCGGCCCGCTGGGGAAGTTGTGTTGTTGCTTTCGGTTTCAGACAACGGGGCGGTGGTGTTTTGCCCCCAGCGCGTCGTTTACCCGGCGTGCAACACGCCAGTATCCCCCCCAGGGCAGAGGTGTGTGGGTTGTCTGCGCAGAGCGGGATGCTGGGTGTAAATTCTACACAGCCAGCACGCCGCAGGGAAGCGCTTCACTGTATGTATATACTTCAGACTACACGAACTCACGTTTACTGTAGTGACCATTGGTTAATTTCTTACCACTTTGGACTCTGATTGGTAAACAACTTGCCTCGTCCCGATTTAAAGTTACAGTGTCTTTATTATTATTATTATTATTATTATTACTCTGCACAAACTCTAAAGGGGAGACACGACTCTTTTTGGTCTTGAATTGAGTCGGCGGGCGCGGTCTCCCCCTTCTGTCTTTACTTTTCCCCCATTTACCATAGATTTTTGCTGACTTCATGCTTCTTTGGCAGCTACTCCACTTTCAGCACCTTCTGGGCAGGATGTTCCCATTACAAATCCTTCAGTTCCTCCCCGAGGGAGGTAGCTGTTAGTAAGGCCTGCGTTCCTTACACAAAGTAACCAATCTATACAAGAAAGCCATGACTCCCTGTCCTCCCTATTAAACAGAAGGCATTGTATCTAATTCTGACTTGACTAGTGCCACTGCCACCGTGGCACTTAGCCCTACGGTTTCACACAGGTGGCGGTGGGCCGTGACCGTGCCCCCGGCGCGGAGCGGACGCCGTCGGGCAGAGCGGGACGCGCTCCCCCAGACAGGCCTCGCCCCTCAGAAGAGGGGCGACGGCTCCGGGGCCCTCCTTTGGCGTGGTTTTGGGAGGCCCCTGCCCAGGGGCTGTAGGCCCCGTCGGCTTTACAGCAAGGTGACGGCCCGGCACGGCCGAGCAGTTGGGCGGCCGGCGGGTTCCCCAGTGGGCGCCGTCCAAGTGTCCCCCTTCCTTCGTGGGGACCGGCTTGGGTTCCCGGCGAGCAGAATAACTCTTGTTTTGTTATTCCGGCAGCTATCTGGATTTATTTAATTTTTTCTTAATTTTTAAGAAAACAACAGAAAAAAACATTTTTTTAATGTTATTTTGGAGATCACAGAGTCAGTAGGAAGGATAATGTCCTTTAGAAATGATCCTAGAGGATCATTAATATAGATCAAAGTAATGTAAAAGAGTATTAAAAATTTTTCAGTCAAGCAACTAAGAAATTTGAAATAACGAATTGAAATGTTTTTTTTTTTTTTCCAAAGGAAGTGTTAAAATTAAGTAAATTTGACGTCTGACACCTAGTGTTTTGTTTGAGGTAGGACAAGACTGATGTTTTCTCTTTTTCAAAATGTGAGGGGTAGAACCTTTTGACTCAGTGTGTCATGTTACCGAAAAAGCCTTTTATTTAACACAGTGGTCCGTTCTGAGCAGTAGATCTCTTGAGTGTGGGCAGTCACGCTTGTGAGATGTGCTCAGATCCAGGCAGATAAAATGCCAGGTCTTTTAGTGTTCAGCTTGAGCTTAGTGAAGCTTCACTACTCAAACTGGATTTATCTTATTTTGGTGTGACACAACAGCCAGCCAGAATACAGTGTCATTTACATTAGCACACAGCTACAATAACAATTCTGTTTTCCATTGGTGTAACTGAGATCTGAATTTGGCCCTCTTTTTGGAAATTAATAAGGATAATGACAAATTGTCAGCTAATGGAAAACGAGTATTAAACAAGAGGGCAATAAAAGGGCTTTTCCTCTTGCAGCTTTTTAGCCAGTATAGATGTTTCTCATCAAGCACAAAGACCACTATTCACTGGCTCCATTGTGTAAGCCTGATAATGGCTCCCATCTTTGAAGAGGAGACAGAAGATGAACAAGAGGTGAGCATCCTGCCCTAGAAGGTGCCAGAAGCTGGATGATTGCCCATTAAGTCTGCAAAGCTCTGCAGAAACTTGGAGTGAAATAAAGGTGGCAGGGGGAGATTGCAACCACCAACTCAATTCAAGACTGAAAAATCTTGTTCCACCCCCTCCCCACGCAAGGAGCATGCATCCTAATTTACACAGCAAGCGAGCCTAATCTAAATATTACTAATGATACAGAGAAATTATTGTTTTGAGATTTATTATTTACTTATAGAAAACTGCTTAGCAACTTATTTACTTATTTATAGCGTTATAGTATTACTTATAGTATTTTATTAATATTGCTAAGAATCCTGCTTGCCCAGACTGCTCTATGGAATTTTACCAAGGACTACTGTGTTCATCAACACAAAGCAGTTCACTGTGAAAATGTACCAAGGACTACAATGTTCAACAAAATATTACACTTTTGTCCTTGAGGAACAGGTAGCTCTAACTATAATAGCTGGAATCTTGCTAATGAGTAAAGATAGCCATATACAAATGGTAGAAGTTCTATTAGTTCTCTTAGATAAGACAGAAAAAGAAACTCTTGTTATTCAAGAAATTGGCCAAGAGAATCTGCCCACGCTCTGGGGCAAAAACAGGGTGAGAAAGACTACGAGCCTTCCTCCCAAAGACCCCCCGAGGACGCCCGCCAGGAGGCAATGCGCAGGTGTAAAGATGACATAAACTGCTGACATCAGCCTTTCAAACTAACCCAGCCTTACTCATGCCTATGAATGTTTGTGTTATGTAACCCAATAAATATGTATATCCACACTCTATGAGGTTTTGGTAAAATGTGCAGTGGGTGTGCAAGCTTTGTGGAGAAATCCCCTTGCACCCTGGCACCAGAGTAAACATACCTGCTTTATAACTCTGTTGGAGTTGTAGAGTCTTTTTTCCACGTATCACTAATCAATAGCAGGTGGAATGGTAGTTACAGACCAGTGAACATTAACTTAGGTTTTACAAATCATGTAATAGGATAAATAGGCTGTAGTTCCATTATGTAGTGTGCTACCTTTGTGGAATTACCCCTAGCGCCCAGCTTTGCACAGCTATGGAATAAACTGAGGTCAGGTTCTGTGTGTGTGAGATTGGCTTTTGCACACCAGGTAAGGAACCCTGTTTGAGGGACAACACTGGTCTCAGAACAAGTTCAGTTCCACTCCAGCACAAAGCTACATGTAGAGCAATCAAATACAAGCCTGTTAGTGTCTGGGGTGTTACAGCTGCTTTTGAAGGTTTTTCATTTCCATTTTGTGGACTGTGCCACAATTGGGATCAAAGCAATCACTTTCTTCATTAGGTTTTGAAGAAATTTTCAGTAAACAGGCATTGTATGGCAAGTGTCAGAACTGTTCTTTGCCCTGCTGTGGTCCCTGTACAGCTACTGCAGCAGTGAGAAAGGAACAAATAGTAAAGAAAAAGGGATACGGGACAGAAATCAGTTGCACAGGGAGTTTCCTATTTGGACAGAGCTGATGGAACAGTTTTTATCTCACCATAAAACTGAAGTTTGCCAGCACAGAAATCTTAATGCACCTTCCCTAGTTTTCAGATGTTTTGAAGCCATTCTTTCACTACTCTGTGAATTTCTCATTCTGTAAACTGAAGTAATTTAGTCCATATCCAACTGCCAATGGGGACTGTAGGTACTTAAGATAGGCACTTAAGATGTCAATTCCTTTTGGCTCTTCCTCAGTCTCTAGGAAATAATAAGATGTTTCAATCTGTGTGGTCAACTAAACACATTAGTACTGAATGTATTTAATTGAACAATCTCTTCAATTGTTTGGGTCACCAAAATGAAAAATAAAGATGCAAGGAGCTAGATTGTTCCAGGTGCTGTTGATCCTTATAGGCCATTAGGAAAAATGTATACTTTGTTCTTAAAGGAACAAAGCCTATTTCCACTTTTCAGGGCTCACATCTTGCAGAAGCTTGAATGTGGTGGCTGTAAGAATAAGTTCTATGGCTCAATACAAGAACTTCTTGCAGCAGGCCAGATGATTCTGTCAGATGTCTTAGGTGATGTGGACTACACATTTCATTTTGTTCATATTCAAAATATTGAATTCAGGCTATTATATTAGGTTCAATTGTTTCTCTTTACACTGATAACTATAAAGTCTAAAGCAGAGCAGTAAGATGATTTTCAAAGTTATATTTTATTAGGAAGTTACAATAACTCCAACCTAAAACCTTACACACAAACACATAAAACCTTAAAAATTAACAATTTGTGTGAATTTAGTTTCCTGTTAATATAAATGCAAGGCATCTGTGGTTGGGTAAAGTATAAGTACATTCTCTTGTGAGTGTACAAACCGATTTATTAAAAAAATCCCAAAGACTTCTATGCCAGAAAACATATGGCATCAAATCTTTAATTTCATATAGTTCAATGTCAGCAGCTTACACTGAATTAACTGGAATACTAAAAGTGAGTTTGTTATTAGCAAGAATGACAAACATATTTGTTATAGTAAAAGAAGACAAAACCACAAAAAAAATTGCCATCAGAGTTTTAAAGAGTTTCCCAGAGAGATTTGTCATCATGAATAATTGCACTTAACCTGTAGGCTATTACTAGTAGCTAATACTATTTTCTTTACTATTTCAATATATTTATAATTTCCTTAACAAAAATCCATTTGATACCCCATCACAAAACATTCACTGAATGCAGATTTAAGATAACACAATATTGGATTTTAATTGTGCACCTTTACTTTCCTCTATTTATCAGAAAGATTATTAAAAAAAAAAAAAAAAAAAAAGCATTGAAGTGAATGATCTGTGCAAAATGGGAAGCTCTTATATAATAACTGATACCTCATGCAAAAGAGCAAAAATATTTTAAAAAACAGTCTAAGAA